TTGTGGTGACTACTGTTTGTGTTAACTGTTTGGGGGATCTCATTTCGCAGCCTAAACATCTTTCATCGCTCGTGGACTTTACGTGCTACCACCTTATTAAAGTTTTAAGATTCAGAAGATCAAGGCTGATGCAAGGGAAGCAGTCCGTTTATGCTTCTGAGGAGTTCGCCCAGAAGGACAATTGTGAATCAGTGACTCCTAATTGGAGACTTCAGAATGAACCCGCTTTCTTGGCCTAATTCAGGCCACGGAAGGGCATTTTGAAGTTTTGCAAAATTCTGTGTGGCCATTGTCGCTCATTGCTTCATTGTGAAGAAGGCTGTTGTACGAGGAACTCAGTGGAATTCTTCTGAGCTGCACATAACAGAGAGGCGTTTATGTTCGCCAGAAGTCAGTGCTTGACTCCAGTTCTGAGACAGGAAGGGTTTCTCTCCTGCTCAGCGATTAGAAATACTTCACCACGTAGGAGGCTTAAGCGGAATTCTTTGGCTCGGGCCCGTGTGAACAAAGGCTGATTCTCGTTGTTCAGGCGGCCCCCTCCCCTTCTCTCATTCCCTCGCCAGCTTGAAGGGTAGGATTCAGAGCAGGAAGCATTAGTTAATTTTGTGTGCTTCATTCTAAACATCTGCACTTGAGGCTTTTTGTTTATGGGAGGAATGTGGCAGAGAGAAGGGGGAGGCAGGAGAACATTCAGAAGCTAAATATTTTCTTGAGGGTGTGCATATTCATCGTTAGTCTTAACGGGCATGCACATGAGGCCAGGGGTGGAAGATGTCCTAGTTGTGCAGTTGCTGGGACACTTTTCAGACACGCACTTCTGGTTTCCTGAATTGTGTGCTTGGCATCTTCACCTGCAAGTCAGACTGTCCTCTTGGAAACCCTGTCAGTGTAACGATAGTATGGTAGCTGTCACTGGACTGGAAACCAGGAGACCTGGTCCTGTTTTCTGCTCATCTACCGATTAACTGGATTATTGTACTTTGTCTGCTGTCAAAGGAGTAGGACAGACAGATACAGAGTAGGGAAGTATGGAGAGAGAGAGAGAGAGAGAGAGAGAGAGAGAGAGAGAGAGAGAGAGAGAGAAGAGAAGAGAAGAGAAGAGAGAGAGGAGAGAGAGAGAGAGAGAGAGACGGACTGACTCAGTTGTATGAACATGAGGTGAGGAGCGGAAGATGTCCTAGTTCTAGTTGTGTAGTTGCTGGTACACTTTTCAGACATGCACTTCTGACTTTCTGAATTGGAATGTTTAAAGGAATAAAAAGTAGCTCCTTACTTTCCCAGTTCTTCCTTAATCCTGGATACCCTAGACAACTAAGCTTTGACTCTTCCACTCTTTTTCTGTATTTGCTTCTGTATTTATTCAGAATAGATTCCAGATTTCTTGAAGTAACTTAAGTCCTTATCTTATTGTCCTTCCATTGCACCTATGTAGAAAATCACACCTGCACAACCTTGTCCATACAAAGTCATGGCCTCCTCCCTCTTCCGCAGGTGTAGTCTCTACCCAGCAAGCCTTCTTTTTCTCCAGTCATCTCTTTGATAGTCTCTATGCTCTCTTCACATAGTCCCCACCAACATTCCCCAACCCCTTAGCTGACACCCTTGATTTTCACTGCACAGAAAGAAAAAGTCACCAGTTAGAATTCTTTCAATGTCCATCCCTTAAAACCTGCAAAGTCACTTGCATTTGCATCCAGACAGCAAGCAGGAATGCAGGGTTCCTCCCACATGGAGGCAATCCTTCCACCACCACTAGTCACATTCTTGTATCCCACCTTTATGAAATAGTAAAAGATTTGACAGTGAAACAGAATGTCAACAGGATAAATGTAGAGGAAGCTTTCAGAAGTGGCTCCTGTCCCCCGTCACCCTCCATCCGTGACCAACTTACTGTTGATATCTGCTTCTTACATCTCACTGGCATCCATTCATTTCTTTTCATCCGCTGTCCCTACTCTTCGTTCAGCCACTGTCATCTCTCCAGGATTACTGCCACATCGTCTTCACTCTTCTCCCCACCCTTCATCCTGTCCCTTCCAAAGGCCAGAGGGATCTTTCTAAAAATCAAACCAAACCATGCCATTTCCTGACAAATCTTCCAGTGATTAAAGATTTTCCAAATCTTCCAAATTGAAGTTGCTCGTTAGCATGATATCTGGCCGGTGTATTCCACCTCCTCATTAGCTCGTCTCCTGCTACTCTGTCCAGTTCCAGCTATACTGTCAACTCAGATTCCTCTAGCGGTTACGTCTCTGTCCTCTGGGCTTTCACATGTGCTCTTTCACCTGCCTGGACAACTGAGCCCTGTTTGCTCAGCCAGTTCCTCTGCATTCCTCAGGTCTTGGATTTAGATGTCACCTCCTCTGGAAAACCTCGCAAATCTAGATGAGGTGACTTCCCTCCACGCTCCCAAAACATGATGCACTTCCCTGTCGTAGCCCTCACATGGAAGCACAACGTTCTGTAGCGACTGCCGGATGGACTGCCATTTATGAGCAGTCAGTCCACGTGGCTGTCCCGTGTGGACCGTGTGCACCCCTTCCACAGATATCCCCAAGAGCCTTTCCACTTCCAACGGTTGAGGTTGCCTTTAGGTTTAATGCCAGCAAGATTGCTTTCTAGGTGTGTCATCAGTGAGAGTGAGCACAGAGGCCCGTTTCTTTCGGGGTGCGGCTTTGTGGTACAGATGTTGCTATGGAACTCAAACACACCCCGATCTCTTTTGCCTTCTCTCCTTTGATCCAGGCTTCTGCAGGTTGGGTTGCTAAAGAAAAATGAGATTGCGATATGGTAAGTGTAGACAGAGAGAGTAGAAAAGTAAGGGTCATCTGTAATCTAGAGATTAGCGAGTCAGCCTTTGAACATCCTGAGCCACCTATACTCCTCAGTGGTTTTCCCATTCTGGAATGTCTTAGATAGTCGCTGGAATGTCCTAGATACTGCATTATAGTCTCACCCTCATGCAAAGTTGATGTCTTGACATTTTTTACATAGTAAAGAGAGGTTAAATTTGCGTTTTTGTAACAGGAGGGTTGTAAACTGTGTTTCCACCACCTGTGTTGAGGCAAAGTATTGGACTGCATTGTAAATAGAAGATCCAGGCTGTACCAGGAAGTCTTGGAATAATCAGGCCCTTATGTGTGAACATATCCTGTGTCCTCGTTCAGGAATTTTCTCCTAAACCTTGTTGTCATAATACCTTATATTTGTATAGTTTTACAATGAGTCTGATATTTACAAGATTTTAGTTTGATCTTGCAACAACCCTTTGAAGTGGGTGACTCAGGGATTATCATCCTCATTTTTAGAGGGGAAAATGGCAGAGCAGAAACCACACAGCTAGTCGTTGAAGGAGGCAGGACCTGAACTCAGATCTCACGGTGCCCAGTCTTATATTCTTTCCATCATGCCACATGTCCTTGTGTTCTAGGTCGTGTGTGTGTGTGTGTGTGTGTGTGTGTGTGTGTGTTTTGAGTAGATGGGGAGGGGAAGCTAATTAAACCTGTCTTTTAAGATCAGGACCAGTTGAGAAATACAATCAGATAGGACTTATCACATCAGTTTTATTGTAGATAGACTGGAGTGAAGAACAGAGCCTACACACATGGCTTCCATGGACTTTTTGCTCTTACTTCCTGCCCCCTCCCCCTGCCACCTTCTTTTCCCAATTGAATTCACCGTGACATTGAGTCTAAGATCTGTACCAGGACTGCAGCAGGCCTCCTGCCTGGAGGCAGAGGTGCTATCTCGCATTGAGGAGTGCAGGAGGTGGACTCACACATGAGCATAATTCCCCCAGGGATGAGTGGGTTCCAAGAAGTGAGGAAATGGCTGAAGTCTGCCCTCAGCACTTCTGAGCATGTAGGGGAGGATTAGGATGGTTCTTCCTGTGCAGTTAATTCACTTGGGGAGAAAAGACTAGAAGCTCCTTGAGTATAAGGACCCCTAACACATGCTGTCCCCAAAGTGTACAGGCGAGGCCTGAGGTTGTCATTGTGCCCAACAAATACTTGTTGACCAAACTGTGATCTTCACTCTGGCATAGAAACAGCAAAGAAAATATAGTGTTGGACCCAATTTCTGAACGAATGAATGAATGAATGAGTGAACAGTTGCACATGACCTCTTTTACCCGCCCGAAGGCATGCTGGCTGGTAACCAAGATACCCTGCTGTCGGATTGGCAGCTGTAGGGAGCTGCCTGGTTCAGGGATTCTTCTTCCAGAGGGATGGCAGTCCACTGACTCCTCCCCTCGCTGTCCTTCCTTGACCAGAGCTCACCTCTCACCTGGTCCTTTGAACATGTTCAAACACAACTTCTTTAAGCCATCTTTCTCCTTTTCTCTTTCTGTTTATTCAGCCTCCGGAGGAATTTCTGCTTTCTGTCCTACTCTATGCCCTGCCTCCTATCTCAACCACTGTCCTCCCGGTATCAGATTTATCTTTTTTAATCTGGTCGATAAGTAGGTAGCATAGTAGTGCCCAGGATACTCTTCCTGTATAAAGAGAAAATATTATCGTTAATAAGGAATGAGTTTTTAAACATTTTGAAAGTGCCCAGAATACCCACTTCAAAAACATCTTTTTCTGTCTCTCAGTTAAACTTTTGCTGAAACCTCAGCATTATGAATAAATGTATCCCCCCCATTTTATTTTTACTAGTGTAAGTACACTATTAACATACGTTACGATTTTTATGGCAAACGAATTTTCAACGACCTATGTTCATAAGTAGGCTTTCATGAGCTAACTCATGAACCAACTATCACTTGTCATTTGTGTGGGAAAGCATGCTCCATTCCAAGTGCAGACCAGCCTGTTGGACACAGCCGCTGTGTCCTATGTTCTGGAGCCTTCTTAGTCTGGTGTGCATAGGGTGGTTGGTATACTCTTTCTCTGTCAAGCTCCAAAGCAAATTGGGAACTGGGAGACTTTTTTTTTTTTTTTTTTTTTTTTTTTGCTTTCCACATGGATCTGAACTTGGATGTGTTTGTCCCGCAGGAAAATCTTTTGACATCACGTACGTGCGCCTCAGGTTCCACACCAGCCGGCCGGAGAGCTTCGCCATCTACAAGCGCACGCGGGAAGACGGGCCCTGGGTGCCGTACCAGTACTACAGCGGCTCCTGCGAGAACACCTACTTCAAGGTGAACCGCGGCTTCATCAGGACCGGCGAGGACGAGCAGCAGGCCTTGTGTACGGACGAGTTCAGCGACATTTCCCCGCTCACCGGGGGCAACGTGGCCTTCTCCACGCTGGAAGGAAGACCCAGCGCCTACAACTTTGACAACAGCCCCGTGCTGCAGGTAGGCATCTGGCGAGTGGCGTGGAGCCAGGTGGTTCTCCCACGTCTGCACGGGATGCAGGAAAATGGTGGTAATGGGACCTGTGGTTTCCCAGTAAGACAGACAGCTGGCTTTCCTTCTGCTCTCCTGTGACCTCTCATTAAGCGAGGGAAAGCAGTTTTGTTTCTGTCCCTACCCCTCACTCCCCCAGCTGATGTTTGTTCTTACGTTCTCATGCACTTGCAAGAGCGTCCTGGGATATATAAACTTTACGAAAATATTTTTTTTTTAAGTTGGACCATTTTAACTCTAGTGTTTGTACTTGAAGTGGAAACATTCTGCTTCTGACCTTATGAAGAAGGTATTTGAACTAATCGATCCAGTTTTCTTGCATCCCTTCTTACCTCTTCTTTGGACAAAGTAGAAGATATTTTATTAGCAAGAGGGACCAGCTGAAGCAGGATAGTTAAGAATGCCACCTTCCTGCATTATTGTGCCAGGGAAGTCTGATTGGGCTTGTCTGGCACTGTTGCCAATCATGAAAACTCATCGCCTATAGCACTGGTGTTTGTGCCCGGATATAAATGTAGGTACCCCTGGTATCATGCTCAAGCACTGTCGCAGAAACTTTTCCCTATCTAGCAATAGAAAGAATTTTTCTCATGAATGCTGTGTGTATATTCCTTATGCACCACCTTACAGAACCTTTACATATTGCTTAGATTTCTGTGATTTTTTTCTTATGTTCTGGCTGTTTGATCATGGAGAGACTGGCGAGCCTCATGCCAGACATACCCAGCGCATTAACACAGAATTGGAGGCTCTTCTGTCCTGTGGCTGAAGCTGACATGTGAATGGGGGCAGGCTGTCGTAATTGACTGAGACAAGAAATACTGGATGTGGGTTTGCAAAAACTGTGCTCGTTTCAGGAAAATCTATTGTGATTTCTTGGGGGAAGGGAGGGGGGACTTTATGCTTTTGTGTCTTCTCATTCTTTTTCTCTGAAATATATGATGTTCAGGATTCTTCCTTTAATTTGGTTGTATGGTTTTGGACAGTGGCCATAGATGAGATTATATTTCTCTTTGAGTCTAGTTCTTCTTTTCCATCTATTTCTGTAAGCTGCTGGCTTGGAGATTATACATCTTGATTTTGGAAAACTCTGAGGGTGTAGTGAGCAATGGATATGTTTGCAGAGTCTTTCAGAAAAGCGTTTCTTGCATTGGCAGTAAGAGGTGCTCAAAGTCAATGGCAGGAAGACCAGCTGACTTTGATAGATGAAAAAGCAGGAGACTGCCTGCCTAGGGGAGGAGTGATCTACAAAGACTCTTCAGGCTGACCCAGCAGTCATTCGCTAGCTTTGTTTCTTCCCACACAAATGATTGTGTTTGACTGTCCTGGAGAGGCAACAGGATAGCCAGTAGGAAAAGGCCTTGACATAATGTTGTGACTGGTTTTCCGGCACCTTCGCTAACTGGATGCCTTGTCAGCCGTCTTGAGGCCGTTTCGCCAGCTATAGGAATTCTGATGTTTGCTGCTCTTGTTCCACAGGAACTCACGAGACTTAATGTGGAAAAAATGCTGTAAGCCTCTGCGGTGGGTTTGGTCAGTTGGCATCCTTATGCAGAGACATTAACTATGTGTCTCTAGATGTAAGCGCTCTGGCTCTGAGATCTGGTTGCCAAGGGGGTTTAAGCTCCAGCTGATTGACAGTGAGGAGAGGCCAAGCACCGTTTCCTCATCACCCCTGTGCTGCCCTGCCAGGAGGGAGGCCCTTCTTGGTGTCATGGTATATGAATATTAACCAAGCACACATTGATTTAGGGTGATGATTAGCATTTATTACAGCACTTACTACAGGGTGCCACAGTGTGCCTAGCATTTAAGCCCTTCAGATAATATTAACTCAATCCTCAGGATGACTCTATATAGTAGATGCTTTGGTTATCTCCATTTTACAGATGAAGAATCAGAGGCCCAGAAAGGATAAAATAGCTTGCCCCCAAACAGTTTGAAGTGGCTGAACTGGGACTCACAACCCAGAAAGTCTTGCTCCAGAGTCTGTCTGCTCTTTTGAAGGTTCCCACGATGCGGGGGGTAAAAAGAGGGGGGAGAATCTTAGATTCAGCCCTTGAGAAACTTTTATTCTGGAGAGCTGCATAAAATATAATAAGCATTAAACACAGATATGGTTAGGTATTTACATTACAGATGGCTAAAGGATTCCTAGCATTGTGGCCATGAGTGGGAGTTGTTATTGGAATTCCAAGTTTGGATGCGGTGAAATCATCATCTCTTTCCTTTCTAATTATACTTGGAGGCTTCGTGGAGGTTAGCTTCTCTGAGTTCCCTGTGTTCTGTCTGCCAGGTGTTTGGTGTGGCTGAAACAGTGGTTCCTAATCAGGGGCATGCACTCGCTCGCTGCGTCTCATTAGGTGACTGTAGTGACGTCCCAGGAGAGGACTTGAAGTGGAGATGGTGTCTTGGTTAAACAGCCATGATTTCTTATTTCTCATTGATTCTGTATTGCCCTGGGCTCACTCTCCAGCGGGGGGTGAGCTGGGAGCTGGATTTCTCTCTCTGTGGTCTTACACCCTCAAGGAGGCCAGTCTGGGCTTTTGCATGTCATGGTGGGATTATTCCAGGAGGGCAAGTCTGATGACAAGTGCTTACCAAGCCTCTGCTCATGTTACATTTGTTGATGTCCCCTCAGCTAAAGCAGATCACACACCCAAGCCCAGAACCCACGTGGAAAGGGGACTCCACAGGGTGGGGACACCGGCAGTGACAATGGGTTGGCATCATTTGTATAACAGTCTGTCACAGATGTAAACACCTGACTCGCATGAGCTCAGCGAAAGGGCATTTATTACTCGGGCTTTGATGTCACCAAATCTAGGGGGAAACTGTACAACCTTCCTTCTTACCCTTGGCCGTTACGGTACACCTACCACATTGATCAGCTGTAGTTTCTTCCCATTTGTCATTTGCTCAGCACATGCCATGTAAGCACCTCCTATACTAGGGGAATGGCAGTGAACAGAACAAAAATTTCCTGCTTACAATTTGGTGATGATGGCATCAGAAACAAACAATATAAATAAAATAGGGAAGGGAACTTGGGCATTTGGGGGTGGTAGCAGTTTTAGGAAGGGTGGCCCAGGGAAGGCCTTGCAGAGAAGTGAAATTGTGATGAGGGTCAAGGCAAAGACGGACTCTGATTGACTGAGGCCAGTGTAATGATTTAGTGCTTCTACTGGGATGTCTCTCCCAGACGTGTTAGTGTGGATTGGCTACGGAGGGAGCGATAGGTGGTGCCAAGTGGGCAGGAGGAGGTAACAACAGCCAGCAAGTCTTGTACAAGCATGGAGTCACACGAGCTCTGTGCTAATATCTGATTGGATTTGGGATTCGGACACAGGGTAGGGAGAAGGGACATGCATCGAATACCCAGTGTATGCCAGGCATTGAGAAGTATATTTCATTTAAGCCTCTCAATGGCCTGTGAAGAAACTAGTATTATTTTTGCTTTGGGGGACTCTGAGTGGGTAAAGTAACAACTTAGAACAAAGAAAGGAAGAGTCAAGAAGGAGAAGAATATCCAAGGAATTAAAGGAACCATTGACTATTACAATTGAGTTAATGCTAGAAGAGGACATATGTTAAATGATACAGTCATTGTTTAGAAAACTTTGTCCCATTTATATCTCTTATCTTTAGTCCCACTAGCTGTTTTTTCTGTTTTTGTTTTCTCACAGGAGTGGGTAACAGCCACTGACATCCGAGTGACTCTCAATCGCCTCAACACTTTCGGAGACGAGGTGTTTAATGACCCCAAAGTTCTCAAGTCCTATTATTACGCAATCTCTGACTTTTCCGTAGGTGGTAGGTAAGTAAACTGTTAAACACTTTGAAAGGGATTCGAGCTTTAGTTTAGAAGTGAATGCAGCAACTATTTACAACTGTATTAATAATGTTGTTAGACCTTCTTCTTATTGTGAAAACCTTATCAAATCAGTCTCCTTCGTGAGTTCTTATTGAGAATATAGTACAAAGTTCTATAATAGAGAGACACTATGAAGCTCCGGAGGAGGTGTAGGGCTGACATGCACCCGCGGATAAGAACTGGACCTTCTAGGATCCTACACAGGAATGGGGCAGACAATGGATGAATATGTGAAAAAGTAAATACCAGCATAGTCCCATGTTTTAGGTAAAAAGATGCCGTATGCCAGAGAATGCTGCGGAACTGTCAGGCTAGAGAAGCAGATGGGCTCAGAGCTGGGTCTTAGATGATTTGGATGAGTAGGAAGGATGTCTGGTTTGGTACAGAAGAATGGGCAGGTCATGAACTAAATTTTAGAGTTGGCAGAGTATAAGCCTTGACTCAAGGAAAATCTATGTGAATTGGTAGAGTTGTAAACCAGAGAGATCGATTGGTAAGAACATTGGACTTACCTCCCCTGTAAAACTATGAGGTCTCAAGAGCAGAAACATTTTTTTTTTTTTTGTATGCAGTGTTCCTGGGGAGGGGGGTTGAAGCTCAGTGGAAGCTGATGGAAACAGTCACCAATGAGAAATCATGTCATTTTTTGCAGTAGGGCTGTGATACCACCACAGCGGATCAGGAAGATTAGTTGTGGGGTTATATGTAAGTTACGAGCTGAGTATGCTCGAGAGAATTTCTATTCTTGTTAATGACGCGGTGTGAGCTAGATGATAGCTGACAAACACCTAGCATTGAGGTGGTGACAATAGAATGGAAAGAAACATTTAGATGCATTTTATTGTGAAGGAAGAATTGTCAGGATTTAGTCATGATGATTGTAAGGTTTGGTGATCAGGAGTGGTGCCATTAATAGATTAAATAAAGAAGATGAGTTAATTGGGAAGACGATGCGTTTGGGTGTAGACATGTAAAATTGTAGGTCTGGGAGGACGTCTAAATGTGTGCAGCAGTCAAGGAGTTTGGGAGAGACATGAGAGCTGGAGACTCATCTGGTTATGCTGTAGATGTTCCAGAAATGTTTGGGTGTATCTTTAAGTGGTAGTTGAAGCTATGGAACCGATTGCTATCTTCAAGGAAGCCAGTGAGGGAAGCTCAGTGCACCAGAGTGCACGTTGGTGTTCATGAGGATTTCCACGAGCTCTTAGTTTATGGTTTTGCCTACATCTAGGGGATCCTGCAAGGATTATTACCCCAGAGAGATCCATCTGGTCATGAGGTATCTAATGTCTCTTACTGCCCTCAGATCAGAATACTTGAAAATCATTATGGCAGATAATAGCTGACATAATTATTGACTTGCTGTGTGCCTACACAATCCTAGGCACATGAATAAAGCAACTTCTTGATCCTCCCAGGAACCAAATAGACATTATCATCTTCCCTATCTGCAGGTGAATCAAGGGCAGGGCTCGAGACCCAGGAGCCTGGCTGCAGAACCCATGCTCTTCTTACCCAGTACACTTGGCTGCTTCTTGGCATGCACATTTGACTTCAGGAAGTGATGCTGCAGATGCCTTCTGATATCGTTAGGGACTTTCTTCTTGAGTTAATGCCCATCCCTTGTTAAATAAAGTCACATTTCCCCCTCCTGTTTAATTTTTCCTCATACCTGAAAACTCAGACAGCCCTTACCTAATCTTGCTCAGCTCCTCAGTTTACAGTTTCGAATGGAGATCTCCAGCATATTCAGAGGTTGTTTTTGGTTCCCTGTGTCCATCCTTTTTTTTTCTGCATCCATTTCTGGGGCTTTCGAGCTGTCTCCTGTTTCTGAGTGTCTCTCCTCTTCCCAGGTGTAAATGTAATGGACACGCAAGCGAGTGTGTGAAGAATGAGCATGACAAGCTGGTGTGCGACTGCAAGCATAACACCTACGGAGTAGACTGTGAAAAGTGTCTTCCTTTCTTCAACGACCGGCCGTGGAGGAGGGCGACTGCCGAGAGTGCCAGCGAATGCTTGCGTGAGTGCCCCTTGGCGTCAGGCCGTTCACTTATCTTGAGATCTTCCAGGGGTGGAGGAAGGAATGGGTGACTTGCATTGATGCCTCCTTGAAAGAAAAACAACAAGAGGCAGTGCTTCTTTCATACTTTGAAAGCGTAGGACGTGACGTCAGAGGAACATCACAGATGAGGGTGATTGGCCATAAACATAAACGGTGCTGGTTGTGTGTTTCCTTCCTGAACGCACACACCAGGATGTGAGCAGCATCCTCCGTGCCTGGCACTGTGCTTAGATCCAGATACCGGGCCAGTGCGGTCAGCTCTAACATATGATTTCTCTAGTTCTCTTCTTTGTTGTCCTTTAAAAATAGTCTTCTTCTGTTCAGTGCTCCAGAGCTAAGGCCATTGGCTAACATGTGTCAGTTACAGTGAGTTCTAGACTAAGACTGCCATTCAAAAGCTTATTTATAAAAAATTAATTTTCCTTGATGTCGCTCAAGAGCACAGTGGGGAGAATTTTCTGACTCCCCTCATGCAGAGGCGGTAGCTTTGGGAGGAAGAGTAGACACTAGAATTCCTAGGAAAGGGTGAACTGGAGAAGATAGCACATTGTTTGTTCCTTCACAATGTCTTAGTTTACTCTGAACAGATAGGGAAAGGAATCTCAGGAGAAAGAAGCCACGAAACCATATAATTAGGACTCGCCAAGGACTTCAGAAAATTTTAAAGCAGCTATAATTTTCTCATGTTCTTATAAATATCCCTTATCATATTCTCTCGGGAATAAATTGAATAAGAAAGCGGACCCTGTGAACTTGCAGGGATTGTTGGCAGAAGCCTTGAGAAAGAATTGATATCTTATGACTAATTTTATTAGCTGCCCAGAGCAGATTTCCTTATTCATCTTTTCTTTCCCTCGACAAATCCCAGATTTGCAGATTAACTTTATAGCCTCCTCCAGCATTCCTAAACGATTGCTTGGGCTTCTTTAGTTATGTTACTGAACTGTAATATCCCGTGTTGGAAGCTACATGATAAAGGCCGGCAAGAGAAAGAATGAAAAATTCCTAAGGTGTGCTACCGAAGTAAATGTACACCTGTGTTCAGAAAGTGTTCTGTTTAATGACGTGGGCATATTTAGAGTCCATCCAGGAACATTATGAGAACAACAAAGACACTGGATCACCAGCTTACCTCAAGCAAATGTGCTGAATGCTGTAGGCAAAGGACTTTGATGAGGCGCTAAGTCACTTTGCTTTCTTCCTCTGTCCCTTTGGCTCTGTGATCCCTCAGAGAACGTTTCTGGAGGTTGTGACATTAGTTCACTATTGTCCAGGGGCTCAAGCTAGGAAGAGGAAATGACAGCTGCCTTCTCTCTTACCAGCTGCTGAAAAGGGAGCCACAGCCTCTGCATGAGCTGTGGGATAGACAGCGATTTTCAGCCAGGGTGCTGCAAGAATTGTCAAAACGTGCAGTACCTGACTGCTTTGTCAGGACACTGACCTCTTTCCCTGAGGTTGTCAAATCGCAAAATGGCACCAGCCAACACATCAGTAGCCATCCAATGTGAATGAGACAAAGAAATTCTTTGTTTTTTATGAAGTTGCTGTTTTTGATCAGGATGAACATTTTCTATATAAACTCTTTATTGACAAACTTTATCTTTTTCTTATTGAGTAATGCATCTGGCCGTCATTTTTATTCTAACACCATCTGTCACAGAGATGTGGGAAATTGTGGTTGGTTGGTTTGTTTAGTCTTGTAAAAATGCCATTCATAAGGATCATGGATCTCCCTTAACTTTTGTGTTTGGCTAACAGCCTGTGACTGCAATGGTCGATCACAAGAGTGTTACTTTGATCCTGAACTATACCGTTCCACCGGCCACGGTGGCCACTGCACCAACTGCCAGGATAACACAGACGGCGCCCACTGCGAGAGGTGCCGGGAGAATTTCTTCCGCCTTGGGAACACGGAGCCCTGCTCTCCGTGCCACTGTAGTCCTGTGGGTAAGTGCCAGGCAGTGTCTGCTTCAGCCTGATGGGTTTTAAGAACAATAACAAAAAAAGTAAGCATTTCCTGTAGCCCCAGAAAATGAAGCTATTTCTTAGGCATGTGCACAGGTTTGGTATGAAAATTGGACATTACTGTAACATGGAAATTATAACATGTCAATGATTCAGGATATGCCTGTCCCTCCACCTCCATTCTCTTTAAACCACGTTGGACTTTCCAATGATTGTCGGGTTTGTATAATACTGGGGGTGGCCTGAGCAATGATTTTTTAAATAATTAGCAACAAGATCCTAGAAAGCATTTGAACCCTACTGTAAAGGGTTAGCTGCTTCGTGAGTTTTTCCTTGTTAATGATTTTGTTTAGTCTGAAACCCTTCAAGAGCTTGAGCTGTTAGTATATGTCCACAGAGGTAGTGTGCTCTTAGTCCATTCTGTCCTTGCAGGAGTTTGACCTTTGTGTTTGTTGTGCATGTCGGTGTACACTTAAGTTCTAGGCATGACCCCGAGGGAGCCAGTGCTTTCTCACAGAGGAGGGACAGGCCTCATGTCCAGTTTACCGCTGGGTACAGAGTGACATGTTAGTGTTTTTAGCATGGTGTTTGTCTGGAAAGGTAAAATGTAATGGCTTACAAGGGGCCTGATTTTGAGAGAACTCGAATTAAAATTTCACCTTTTCCCCCCGTAACCATCTACGTAGATTGCATATTGGTTTTTGGGCATTGTTCTTAGCTACCAATTTTCTTTTTTTGACATGAAATATTGCAGACACGCTGGGTAGCTGACACGCTTTTTTACATTTTAGGTTCCCTCAGCACGCAGTGTGACAGCTATGGCCGATGCAGCTGCAAGCCGGGAGTGATGGGCGACAAGTGTGACCGTTGCCAGCCCGGGTTCCATTCTCTCACGGAGGCAGGGTGCAGGTGAGACCTTTCAACGCCAAATCAGGGAGGCACAACCTACATGGAGCTGATTCCTAATGATAGACCTGAGGCTTATCTGCAGCCGTATAAACATTTGCCCCAAAATAATTGTCCGCGAGATTCAAGACTTCTGGCTGTAACGATGACCCAGGATTGGTGTGCACAGAGATTAAGCAGAGTTTTACATATTAAATGTTATGAGTATCCTTGGTTGAAACCAGATCCAAGTAACATCAGATAGTGACATCAGTTAGGTATTGTTATAATTATTATTATTAACATATAAACCAACAGGTTGACTATAAGAGTGCAATTTCTTTGCTCCTGTCTGTTCTCTCATTGTTTTATTCATTTCCCACCCAACAGGCCTTGCGTGTGTAACCCTTCAGGCAGCACGGATGAATGCAACGTCGAGACAGGGCGGTGTGTTTGCAAAGACAACGTTGAAGGCTTCAACTGTGAGAGGTAAGCTCCTCCCTTCTCTGGCTGGGTTGCGTTTTTTTCTCCGTTATCATATTTCAAGCACACAAAAGATGCCTGATTGTTTCTTAATCTTTTTCAGATGCAAACCTGGGTTTTTTAATCTGGAACCATCGAATCCCCGAGGCTGCACACCCTGCTTCTGCTTCGGCCATTCTTCCGTCTGTACCAATGCCGTGGGCTACAGCGTTTACTCTATAACCTCCACCTTTCAGATTGGTAACTCAGACCTTCCCTTCCTTCCCTAAAATGTATCACTAGACGTACAGTATTTTTTTTTTAAATCAGTAACTCTTGGAGGATTTTTTTGATGGTAGCAACACTTCATATTTTTTAATGAACATGATTTTTTGTTTATTTGGCTTTTTTGTTTGGGGATTTTTTGTTTGTTTTTATCATCCATAGTTTCTCTTTGAAGTTAGTAATGACAAATTTTTTTTATTTTTCAGTTACAGTTGACATGCAATATAATAGTAGTTTTAGGTATACAGCATAGTGGTTAGAAATTCATATAACTTATGAAGTGATCACCTTGATTAATCTAGTACCCGTCTGACATCATACATAGCCATTATAATATTTTTTGCTCTATTCTCTATGCTGTACTTTATGAAAATATACATATGGGTTTAGAATTCACCATAGTTAAATGCTACATAAAATAAAGCAAAAAATGTAACTTGAGGGGGTATAGCATATCTAGGTACTGTTGTAGAATTCATTTATTCATTGTTGTCTTTCCCTATCCATTTTTTAAAAGATTTTTAAAAAATATATTTTTATTGATTTCAGAGAGGAAGGGAGAGGGAGATAGAAACATCAATGATGAGAATCATTGATCGACTGCCTCCTGCATGCCCTCTGCTGGTGATTGAGCCCACAACCTAGGCATGCGCCTGTGACCGGAATCGAACCAGGGACCCTTCAGACCATAGGGTCCATGTCACTTCATCCACTGAGCCAAACCGGCTAGGGCTCTCCCTATACTTTTGATATGTGTTTGTGGTCCATAAAGGAGGTGAATTCAGGGTGTTCACAATGTCACAGCACTTGTGTTTTTGTCCTCTGCTTGCAGACGAGGATGGGTGGCGTGCAGAGCAGAGGGACGGCTCTGAATCATCCCTGGAGTGGTCCCCTGAGAGGCAAGACATCGCCGTCATCTCAGACAGCTACTTTCCTCGGTACTTCATCGCTCCCGGTAAGCGAGGCCGGAAAGCAGTCTGGCCGGGGTGTGCTCCTCTGTAGTCTCCTCCTCACATCCTTGCCCCATGTGTCTGCGTTCCAGCCAAGTTCCTGGGCAAGCAGGTGATGAGCTATGGCCAGAACCTCTCCTTCTCCTTCCGAGTGGACAGGCGAGACACTCGCCTCTCTGCCGAAGACGTGGTGCTCGAGGGAGCTGGCCTGCGAGTGTCCGTGCCCTTGATTGCTCAGGGCAATTCCTATCCAAGTGAGACCACTGAGAAATATGTCTTCAGGTAAGGTCCTCTTTGTTGTAAAGTGTGACTTGACTGGAAGTGGTTTCTTTATCTGAGCTTCTCAGGCTTCCAGGTGAACGTTGAAAGAAAAGTTTCGGGGTCTAAGGGCCTTTGTAAAAGGGAGCTTTCCCTGTGTCACCCTGTACCCTTGCCACCTGCACTGTCAGACCAGCAAACCAATCTCTGACTTGGTCACATTGGCAGAGCATTACGTTGTTGGCGGCTTAAATGAGTAAGAAAATGCTTTCTTGGCCCTCAGACTTGTCCTTACAGAAGCTAATGGGGCCCCTTCTTTCTCTACAGGCTCCATGAAGCAACAGATTACCCTTGGAGGCCTACTCTTACCCCTTTCGAATTTCAAAAGCTCCTTAACAACTTGACTTCTATCAAGATCCGTGGGACCTACAGTGAGAGAAGTAAGTTATGATGTAATGTAGAAGAGTCGCCCACCCCTGGCTCCCTCTTTGCTATTGAGCGATGGGAGCCTGCCGGCCAGGGAAAGGACCCGAGAGATGGACAGTGCGCCTCATGATGACTGGTTGAGCGGTTGTTCTGGTCCTTCTGACCCTTCTGCCTTTAGGGTCATTTGCATAATACCCTTTTATTATATTGGATAGCTAACACACTGTGTATTACATCCCCATGATTGATTTATTTTATAACTGGAACTTTGTAAACCACCATTCTCTGTTCTCTGTAGCTATGAGGTAAGTGTTTTGGGTTGTTTTGTTTTGTTTAGTTTCTCTTTTTGTTTTCTTTTTAAAGATTTCGAGTGTAAGTGAGATCATTCAGTGTTTGCTTTCTGTCTGACTTATTTCACTTAGCACAATGCCCTCAACTCCTTGGATGTGACTCTCAAGATGCCTGCATGAATATCCAGATGAAAATGTCCTATAAGTGGTAGTTAGAAACATGAATCTGGGGCTTAGGAAAACGTTTGGACTGGAGATCTAGAATTGAAAGGTTGGCAATGCATGGGCAGTAATTTTTAAACTTGGAAACTTGAAAAAAAGAAAAAAATATGCAATTCTGTAAAGAGTTATTTAAGGACCATGCCCTGAGCCTCAAGAAAGAAAAAAAATTTTGAGGAGGAATCAACCATTAATCCATTAACAAGTTTAAGAAGTTAACACCATTGGATTTTGGGTTGGGTAACTAAGGAATCATTGATGAGGTGGAGTGTTTTGTGTGTGTGTGTTTTTTAAGAAGTGTTGAAACTAAAATTAGAGTGCAGCGTCCCAATAGTAATTCGAAGGTCAAGAAGAAAAGTAAAGGTTATTCTTTTAAGAAGTGTGGCTATAAGGGAAGGAAAAGAGGTGGATTATAACTTGGGAGTAGAGACAAGATGGGAGGAGGAGTACTTTTAGGATGGGAGCCTTAAGCATGTTTACAGTTGGAAGCCCATTAGCCAGTGGAAAAGTATCTCATGATCTAATTGTTGAAAAACCCAATAAACATATTTAAAGTTAACTCCCAAGTTCAAGGCAGTAACAGAAGAAGATATCCTTCAGCCTCAGGTTGTCATTTTCTAAGAATGATATAAGCAGCCAATGATATTTCATAACATGGGGAAATACACTTGAAAGATAGACTACCAGAGACAGGAGTGGGATGGAAAGTAAAGGGAAACTTTATGACATCATCAAGGCCTGCCTCTTCCATGGGATGCTCCAGCCAAGACCATCATTGGCACTGGTTGGACGAATCACTGGTCTAAGCCAGTGGTCAGCAAACCTCGGCTCGCGAGCCACATGCGGGTCTTTGGCCCCTTGAGTGTTCTGACGCCACTTCTTCAAAATAGACTCGCTCAGGCCGAAAAACGGACTTCTGCGCATGGGCCACGAAGTTTCAATCGCACCGTATGTGTGCGCCCGCACGTGGTATTTTGTGGAAGAGCCACATTCAAGGGGCCAAAGAGCTGCATGTGGCTCGCGAGCCAAGGTTTGCCAACCACTGATCTAAGCCATTGTAAAGCTTCCTCTTTTTTTTTTTTCTTCTGGAAAGGGGAAAGCATTGTGATATATGGCACAATTGCTTTGGAATAATTGCATACGTGTTGAAGTAGCCCAGAGCATTAGAACGTGTGTGCTTGTTCTTGCCGTTTTATGCAGGTATAAAAAAATACAACTGAGTGGTGCTTGTTGACAGGTGCTTTCCCTGCTTGCTTGTCTTTCTACGATCATTTCCTGCTTTTGGCACAAGAGAACAAAAACAGTTGACTGACTGCAGACCCAAACTCTTCTTGTCCTCCATAGTCTTGCTCTTCTCTCTTCTTGCTCTGGATTATGTTCCAGTGCTTTTCGTTTTTTATATTGGTGATGGGGAGAACTGTAAAAGCCACCAATCTCGGTGTGTGTTTAAAAATACATTTGCTATATTCCAGGCACAGCACCAGCTACCGCATGTTTACTCTAAATGCTATTTTCTACTTATCTTCTCCAGTAAATGAATTAAACTGATGGCTGCTTGTCTCTGGAAGTTTGGATTTGGTTACCTTTTAATGTTACTGACTTCTCATGAGCATTTACGAAACGGAAACCAGTCCAGCGATTCTCTTTCCCACGTCCACACAGGTGCTGGCTATTTGGATGATGTCACCCTGGCTAGTGCTCGTCCCGGGCCAGGGGTCCCTGCCACTTGGGTGGAGACCTGCACCTGTCCTGTGGGATACGGAGGGCAGTTCTGTGAGGTGTGCATCTCGGGCTACAGAAGAGAAACCCCGAGTCTCGGGCCGTATAGCCCATGTGTGCTCTGTACCTGCAACGGACACAGTGAGACCTGTGACCCTGAGACAGGTGAGCGGGTGTTCTTTGGGGGCTGCTCGGCCTAAGTTCTCCTCAGCAGACGGGTAGGAAATCCTCATTGTCTCCTTTGTCTGTTTCTCACACCCCCTCTCCAAACAGGGGTTTGCAACTGCAGAGACAACACTGCCGGCCCCAACTGTGAGAAGTGCAGTGACGGGTACTATGGAGATCCAACCGCGGGCACCTCCTCTGATTGCCAGCCCTGCCCGTGTCCTGGGGGCTCAAGCTGTGCTGTTGTCCCTACAACCCAGGAGGTGGTGTGCACCAACTGTCCTACTGGGACCACCGGTGAGTCTGCTCTTTCCTCCTGCTCACAGTGCCCATCCTTAGAAACACCGTGAGGAGAAGGGCTTTGAAAATGTCTGGATTATTTTTGTCTGGCTTAATGAATACAATTTTCCTCGTAGACAACCTTTTGTAGGAAATGGGTTGATTATAGACTTATAAAACGCATATTAGATACTTACAGTAGCTAACATATTTATGACCAGGAACTTTCCTGCCTCATTAATCCTCAGAACCCTGTGAGGTAGGTTCTGCTATCATCCCATGTTCCAGCTAAGGAAACTGAGGCACAGAGACACTAGGTTACATGACCAAGCCTGCGGGCTCGTCAGTAGAGGAGCTAGAATTTCAACCTAGGTGTTCTGGCCCCAAAGATGATGATCGAGATCGTATACTCCCCCACGTAAGATGAAAACCAAAACAACTTGGTTTTTAGTTTGTGGGGCCATTATCCTGGGCTTCTTGATACAAAGTGGTCATTAAGACAATTGTTTTATATCCTTTCTCCAAATTGTTCTTTCAGAGTATCAGAGCCCATCACATTTATTGGGAAATGTGTGGGGTTTTTTTGTTTGTTTGTTTTTATAGCTTTGGATAGGCCAGTGTTCCCATTCTCTGGGTTTCTTTCTTTCTGATGAAAACATAAAACTAGGTCTTTCCTAGCTACTCAAGGAACTGCCCACCCAGGCTGGCTGCCCGAGGAGACAGAGGCTCACTGGTGACTATTTCCCTTCTCACATTGACTTCAGCCTCCACGTAATGGAGAAATTCTGGCCAGGCCTCTGATACAGCCTTGGGCTCCATTACAAGCCTTTTGTTCCAAAGACATTGCTACAGAGCATAAAAATAAGCGAGGGACCAGAACACTGAGCTAATCATCGGTATCTCTTGTGTTTCATCAAAACATTCTTTAATCATTGGGAAACATCCAAACACCCCATCTCCCTCCCTGCTCCACTGACCCCTCCCCAAGATCAGGACATTGCAACACAGAGATGTGATCATTTGCGTAAGATAGTTGGAAAAATAAGGAGTGGAAATTTGTAGAGAACCTTATGTTTTTTACTCTTTCCTGTTTTTTTAAAAAAATCAGTGGCCCAAAAAAGTCTCACACAGACAGACTTCCCAGCCTCATTCCCCGTCACCCCCTCCAACGTTCTGCTCCAGTCCTAGGCTTCTCATCGTCCCTCAGGTGTGCCAGGCTCTTTGGCCTGCCGTCTGCTGTTCTCCTTTAGAGTGCCCACCCCACTCTCTCCTACCCAAACCTCCCTTTTCCTGGCCAACACCTGTCTCTTCTGGGAGGTGGGGTTGAAACATCACTTTCCCAGGAAGACTTTCCAATGGACCCTCTCTGCCCTGCTACCCTAGGTACTTCGTGCCTTTTACTCTGCAGCCATAGGATCTAGCACGTACCCCATGTGTAGTATCTACTCTTGGATGTGCTTCATATAACGTTTGATGGTCGAGCCCCTTACTCATTTCGTTGTTTCCCTGGGTAGATGGCATTTGCAAAAACAAAACAGTTGTCATCATGTCTATACTAAAGGATACCAATGTTGGATTAAGACAGTTTGGGATGCTTCAATATAGAAATGGAGTGTAAAATAAGATATGTTGGGAAATGTTATAAACATGTTGGTTTCTATCAGGTGTTTCTCCCACAAAGCTTGGAAAGTATATTTGTCTCAGTAGTTACCACCTGGCTTGAAGGGAATGATCTATAGCAGTTCTTGGAGATGTGCATTGGGATATAGATGTCATTGAAAAGCAGAATAGGCCAAGTAAAAAATGCTCTCACTGTATTCCTTATCCTTCTTTACTCCCCCCGCCCCATAGCATTCTTTAATCACTTGATATTTTCATGTTTATTCATTTGTTTATTGTCTATCTCCCCTCTCTACTCCTTCACCCCCAGTTTAAGCTCCATGAGAGCAGGGACCTTTATCTATTTTATTCACTTTTTGTATCCCTAACACTCAGAATAGCATTCAAAATATGTGTTTGTTGAATGAATGCAAATAATTATTGAATAAATGAGTAGAAAATGCAGATACAAGGTAAGATGCAATTCATTTAGGACACTATTGAAGAATATAAATAACTCCTGATAATCACTGAGATCCTAACGTAGTTTGCATTCACATTTAATTTTTAAAACATTTTTTGAGGTAAATTAATAATAAGTCTTTTTCAACCGATTTTTGAGTGCATGGCATTAGAAATTATATAAAAATGATTAATGGACGGTCCCTACTCTTCAGGGGCTAAAAGTATGGAGGGAAGCCGAGGTATTTTTAATCCAGTATGGAGGGATGCACACTGTGTTAAAGGAGAAGAAAGAAGGACACCTCTCCTATTGCTGGGAGGGGTGACAAGGAAAACTGAGGCTAAACAGGCATGCAGCCTGCCCAACACCTTGTAAATAGTACAGCCGGGACCTGAACCTGCATCTTAGACTCTAAAACAAAGAGTAGATGAGCGGTAGCTGCCAGAGGGTATTTTGGAGTGAGAGCTTTCCATGGGGCTACCATGTAGTTCTGGTTTAGGTTTTCCACCAGATTTTTTAAATTAAGTTTTATTCCAAACAGGTTTCAAAACATTTTAAATGTGGATCCTATCTAGAATAGCTAAGTTATCTAATGAAAACGCAGAACTGAAATCCTATCTTTAAGCTACTCTGGACAAGGATTCAGGTGGGGGTCTGGCAACTATTTGTATCAGAGACCAGCTTCCTCTCCTCTCTCAGCATCCTGTTTCTTCCCCTTCTGCCTGAGCCCAGCCACGGTTCTGTTCTGTTCTGTTCGCCTCGTCCGTGGTCTCCGTTAGCCTCCTGCAGTGGTCAGTCCTCCTATGGCCTGGTCTCTGCCACACTGGGCACTGTTAACTGGCTCGCTTTGCTCCAAACATTTTCTCCCCTTGCCTTTTTTGACACTTCCATCTCCTTGGTTTCCTCCTACCTCTCTTCTCTTGGGTGTCCTTTGATCACATCTGATTCTCAACCTCTGGCTTTCATGTCAACTTGATAGTCTCCCCTTAGGTGAATCCATCTTTGGGATTCAAAACCTCTCTGTTACAACTGCAAAATCTGTATCTTCAGCCCTGGCCTTGATGCCCTGAGCACCGGCTATCTACTTACCATCTTCACTCAGGTGGTGGCTGGAAGCCCTCCATATGCTCCTCCTCCTCCATCCTTCATCTGTCTCTACCCTCACGAGACCTACAGGACCACATAGAATGGTAGCCTCCTGGCAAATGCAGAGTATTTGTTCTGAGGCTCCTTTTCTGTAGGATCCTCATGGTTTGGTGACCTTAATCAAAGATCTCAGCTGTGGCAGGTGGCCTTCTCCAAACAGATCTTTCTAGTAAAGTTAGAAACTATTAGGTTCCAAGCAGATCTTTCTAATACAATTGGAAACTCTGAGGTTCTGGTAACTACTCTTTCCCTCCACCCCTGAAGTCTAGGTTGTGGAGCCCATCAGTCCCATGGTTACTGCCCCAGATGCTGCATCTTCCGGTGGTTTCCCTATACTCTGCCCATATCTGGGTAGATAATATCTTTACCAAATTCTCTTCAGGTCTCGCTGATTTGAATCTGCTGACTCTTTTCTTCCGTGGTCTTGGTCCAGATGGCTAAAGGAGTCTCAAATTTAAGCAAATCCAGCTAGATCTAAGATTTCTTCTTTTTTCTGTCTCAACCCTGTTCCCTCCCCAATCTTGGTCACCTCAGTAAAAATACTTCCTTGCACCTCATTGCTCAAGCTAAAATCCTAGGCATATCCTTGATTCCCAGACGCAGGCAGCCAGCAAGCGATACCAGTTCTATGTAAATCTGACCACGTTTCACTTCTTCCGCTGACACCAACCTCATCTACAGCACTCTCATCTCTCCCTGCTTCACAGAGTCATGCATTTAGTGTGGTAGGAAGAGCCCTGAATTCTAGCTCTGTCTCTCTCACTACCTGTTTGGTTGTGGGCAAGTAATTTAACCTCTCTCCCCGGTCCCTTAGCTATGATAGAGGTGAGTGGCAAATGATCTCCAGATTCCCTTATAAAATGCTCAGATTCTGTGCTGGTTGATGCTGCTCAAACAAGGATTAGCCTTTTATTTTTTAAGAGAATGATCCTACTTACCCTGTTGTATAGGATAGTGGTTGGCAAACTCATTAGTCAATAGAGCTACATATCAACATACAATGATTGAAATTTCTTTTGAGAGCCAAATTTTTTAAACTTAAACTATATAGGTAGGTACATTGTTATTAACTTAATTAGGGTATGTGGTATTTTGTGGAAGAGCCACCCTCAAAGGGGCAAAGAGCTGCAGTTTGCTGACCATTGGTACAGGAGATTTATGCTATCTAGAGTCACTTTTCATCTTAATATTATCAACAAAGCAAACATGTGAATGTGCCATCCCTTGGGAGTGGAGAGGTTAACTCTGAACCTAACTCACAAAGCACGTTCAGTGTGTGGTCTCAGGTAATCCTCAGGACAGTTGAGCTGAAGTAGGCAAACTTTCTGATGCGGAGCTGGAGAGGTGCCCATGGTCACAGGGCCAGGACCACAGCCCAGGTCCTCTGCTCTCCTAGGCTGCTGCCACATCCACTGCACCAGGTTGCCTCCCAATCAGTGGTTACATGAGGCTATTTGTCACCAGGGAAATTTGTAAGCAGACTCTTCGTAACCAGTAGCACCGGAAACCCCTAAGGCCTTTCTTTCCTAACATCCGATTGTGCCGTGCACAGGTAAGAGATGTGAGCTCTGCGATGATGGCTACTTTGGAGACCCTCAGGGGACGAACGGCCCTGTGAGGCTTTGCCGGCTGTGCCAGTGCAACGCCAACATCGATCCCAACGCGGTCGGAAATTGCAACCGCCTGACGGGAGAATGCCTGAAGTGCATCTACAACACGGCCGGCTTCTACTGCGACCGCTGCAAAGATGGCTTCTTCGGAAATCCGCTGGCTCCCAACCCGGCAGACAAATGCAAAGGTGATCAGCCACCGGCCAGATGCTGTCTGTCCCAATTGTGCTCATTCTGAGAACTCCCTGTGTGGTCGGGCTCTTTAAATATTTACAGTTGTTTGGCCTGAAGCAGCACTGCTCAATAGAAATAGCTACGCGTCACTTATGTGACTTATATTTTTCTGTAGGGACATCCAAATAAAGAGAAACAGGTGAAATTAATTTTAATAGTATATTTTATGTAACCTAACATAGCTAACATAGGTTATCATTTCAACAAGTAATCAGTAATAGCACATTATTGAGATGTATGTTTTCCCCCCACACCAAGTCTTTGGAATTCACGTGTATTTCATATTTCCAGCATCTCAGTTCAGAGCAGCTGCCTTTCAAGTGCTCAACAACCACAGGTGGCCGGTGGCCTCTGTGCTGGACAACACACATCTAAAGAGCCTATTTGTAAAGTCTGCATTTTTGTGTTTCTCTTGGGTGACTTTCCTCTTTTGCCGTCTCTCTCTCCCCACCTTAGCCTGCGATTGCAACCCCTACGGGACCTCTCGGGAGCAGAGCGGCTGCAGCCCCGTGACCGGCCAGTGCGACTGCCTGCCTCACGTCACCGGCCGGGACTGTGGAGCTTGCGAACCCGGATTCTACAACCTGCACAGCGGGCAGGGCTGCCAGAGGTGAGGGGCGTCAGGGGCCTTTGGTAGAAGTGATCGTTGCTTTTTTCATCGGAAGCAATGAATGTTCACGCGTTGTTGTCGGCTTGACTCTGTTCAGGAGTTACTCAGGTGCCTGACGAGGCAGGCAGGACTGGAAAGCTGTAATGAAGCTAATGGAGGCAAGGCGGGGTGCTGTGGCCCCGGCTGGGTCAGCCTCACCTGAGCGGCATTTTAAAAAGAGACAAATGACGAGGCCCTTTAAGAGATGTTTAGACTCAGACCTCCAGGGTGGCAGTTGGGGAATTCTTGTTTTCAAAACTCCCTGGTCAGGGCCTAGGAGGCGCCAGGTCAGAGAGCCACAGGCGGTGGCTTAGTAGTGGAATAACAGTGTGTGTGTGCTGGCTTAGGAAAAAAACTCCTGAAAATTACTTGAACCTCAGGGGCTCAGTAGTCCTCAACATCCTGTTTTCTGTTACAAATTCTATCCGTTTTATGCTGAAAGGGGGGGGCGGGGAATTTGCTTAAAGTCTGTGTGTTTTTTTTTTGTGTGTGTGTATTTTTTTTAACCTGAGAAATGTCCTGTATTCATTCCAGGTGTGACTGCCATGCTCTGGGTTCCACCAACGGACTGTGTGACATCCGCACCGGCCAGTGTGAGTGCCAGCCAGGCATCACCGGTCAGCACTGCGAGCACTGTGAGGTCAACCACTTTGGCTTTGGACCCGAAGGCTGCAAACGTAAGGGGTGTCCATGGCAGTGAACTCTTAGGTCTCCCCTAATTCTAGCTGGGACCATAAGTCCAGAAAGAACTCTTGACAGGCCCCCGTCTCCCCGATGGCTCACAGCCAGTCCCTAAATCATCATCTTTGCTTTTTTTCCATGAATATTTTCCTTTTCTCAAACTCTGAGGATTGAGAGCCTCTCTGGTTTCTTGGCAGCCACCCTCTTGATGTCTTCTTTTATTATGTTCCTGATTCTTCCTTCTGCCAGCCTTTTATTTTCCCAAAGAGAAGCCTCCCTTAAGTTCCTGAGTGTCCCACTGTGCTCAGTAAAACATTTTATTGATCACGTTCTTAGGGAAGAGGGTGGAACGGGGAGGGTGTCTGCTCAGAACAGTTTGTTGACTCTCTGGCTGCAGTGGCTTCCCACCCTTGGGGTGCTTTTGGTGCAGTTACACGTAAACAGCTGCTGCTCCTTGGCATAAACACTCGCCTGGAATTGGGCCTCAGAACAGTGTGGGTTTTGCTTGCTGAATTCCTTCGTTTCTCCTGTGGAACGCAGCACAAGTCATTGACTTTCCTCTCAAAGTGAGGAAACAGACCAGCAAATATAATACAAGCCTTAGCGTTTGGGTTTTCTAGCTTCTCAGTGAGAGAAATATTAAACAGTGGAGAGAAGACTTCTCCAGATGCACGGAAAGGGCTCTGATCAGTTTAATTCGGTAGACTAATTTCTGTAATTATTGAGTGACATGAAACGTGCCCCCCTCCAAAGGATGTACATGTTACTTTATTATTCATTTTTGTTATAAAAATGTCTGTATTCTCAACTAAGTAGACTTTACCATTTAATTCTATAATAAGTAAGCCTGTTTTTTTTTTGTTTGTTTTTTTTTTTAAAGTCTACTTATCATGATATTACCATCAGTTTATTGGTAGCCTGAGTTCAGAGAAAATGCACTCTTCCTTCTTTTCCTTATTCTGTTCTTTTTGGCCTTTATTCTGCAGCCTGTGACTGTCACCCTGAGGGGTCCCTTTCACTCCAGTGCAAAGACGATGGTCGCTGTCAATGCCGAGAAGGCTTTGTGGGAAACCGCTGTGACCAATGTGAAGAGAACTATTTCTACAATCGGTCTTGGCCTGGCTGCCAGGAGTGTCCAGCATGTTACCGGCTGGTGAAGGATAAGGTGAGCTGCCAGCAGTGCACTTATTCATTCATTCATTCATTCACTTACTCACAGTACAGGTGTTGAATGGCCACTCCCTGTGCATTGAGTTCTGGAGAAAAAAATGGTGAACAAGGTAGACACAGTGCCTGCTCTCAGAGACTCAGGCTCCTGTTGGGAGATAAAGTATAAACATTAAATAGAGAAATGGTAACTGAGATTATTGCTCATAAGAATAGAGACCAAAATAAAAAAAACTAGGGGAGCTACTTTATCCTAGGCCTCTGGAAGGAAATTCACTTCAGGTGAGATCTTAAGGATAAGGAGAAACAAGCAAGTGGAAGGTAGGCTGTTCCAGGCAGAGGGAACACGGGTACCAACGCCTCAACACTGGAAGGTGCCCGGAGCATGCCGAATGAGGAGGGAGCAGTTTGTGATAAGACTGGAAAGGTAGGTAGAGACAGTTTAGGTTGCACGCGTTGACCAGAGTAAGGAATTTAGATTCCATACCAAATCAAATGGGAATGTACCAAAGAGTTTTAAGCTAGGAAATCCAACTCCTCTTTTAAGACCACTCTGACTGCTACGTGAAGAATGATGGCAAAGGGGAAGCCTAGATTGAACTGGATAAACATGTATGTGTGCAGGGTAAGTCAGTACAGCGGGCAAGCATTGGGAAAAAGAAGGGTCGGGATGGATGTAGGGTATTTTGCTTAAGGTACTGGAGGCAATTATTTATTTATTTGTTTATTTGTTTATTTATTTTTTAATATATTTTATTGATTTTTTTTGCCCCCCTCCCTCCCTTCCACACATCATACCCTCCCTCCCCAGAGTTTTATGTCCATTGGTTGTACTTATATGCATGTATATAAGTCCTTCGGTTGATCTATTATCTCCCCCAGATCTTCCTCCCCTCCCTGGAGGCAATTTTTTATTGAGTCATTGATTGACTTGAGTCATTGACTCATTTTTATTGAGTCAATTATTTATTGAGATGACTCAGAACAAGTTTAAGAGGAAAAAATCGAGAGTATAATTTTGGATGTTAAATTGAGATACCTACCGGATAGCCACGTGGAGATGTCAGGAAGGTAATCTAAAGGGTAAGGGAGAGGTAGAGCTGGAGAATCCTCAGCACGTGGTGTTTAAAGTCAAAGGAGTGAAGTTCAGCACAGGAGTACAGGAGATACCATTGTGATATATGGTGCCAAGTGGGGACTGGAAATACCAGGGGAACACTTTGTAAACTGTGATGTCTAACTCTGTACTGAACACCTTAATATTGAATGTAAACTGTAATTGAAAAATAAAATGTCTATTTATTAAATACAAATAAAAATGAAGTCTATGGAATGGGCATGCATAGAGTGACTGGACCTACTTGTTATAGAGTGCCCTCTGAGTTGTATTCCTGCAGGAAGTACAGTTGAGTTCTTCTGGAATACCTGTATGTCCTACCTTTTCCTCTTCTCCCTTCATTATATTTAGGTCGCTGAACATCGAGTGAAACTTCAGGAATTAGAGGCTCTCATGGCAAACCTTGGCACTGGAGGTGAAGTGGTGCCGGATCAAGCCTTCGAGGATCGACTGAAGGAAGCAGAGAGGGAGGTGATGGACCTCCTTCGTGAGGCTCAGGATGTCAAAGGTACGCAGGATCCAATGGAGGAAGGGGGTGGGTAACTTCCGTGAGGCAATCCAGTCTTAATTCAAGGTGAATTTGTATGGTTTTATAAAATTCTTTCTCGATTTTTAAACTATTTGTAGCCTTTCAAGAACCTGTCTACTTAATGGCTTAAGTTTACCTAAAAAATTCTCCAAATACATCAAAAAGGATTAGACATTAAAATTCTGTTTTATACATTTTTTTTCATTACAATGTGTTTTAAATAGTTTCTTTAAAAATCATTAAAGGTGTGCATTATTTTAAGTAGAAAATTGTAGCATTGGTTTCCCATCATTCTAGTAAGAGTTTATGTTAGGCACTGCTTTATTATTTTCTTAGAAAGGACTCTTGTGAGGAAAGGTTAGGGACTGTGATTTATTGGCTAAACAGATATTGAATGTATAACAGTATTTACAAAAGCAAAGATTGGAAATTGGTGTCTACTTGGGAAATTTTCTAATTAATTAGTAAGCATATGTGCTAGTGTACATAAAAGTATATATTTTACATATTATGTGCATCTTTAATATCATTCCCAATTTGGTAGACCAGTTCTATGTATATTATCTGATTGAGACCGGTGACAGGCAGCAGAGGGGTTGACTTAAGATTAAGAAAACAATTGAGTAGATACTTGACTTCACTTCACAAGAAACAGTTTTTGAAGCTTTGAAAGTAAAAGATGTAAAAAAGAAGTTACTTTAAATAATTTACTTGCTTTTTAAAATCACTTTAGGTCTTTATTTCTTACTCTGAATTAGCTCTTTCCTACATTTGGACAAGTTCTTTCCTACAGGTATTGAGTGCCTATTGTATGCCAAGCATCGTGCTAAACAGCAATAATGGAAAGATGAGTAAGGTGCTCACCATCCGGCTGAGGTCACTCTGCTTTGGGGCTCTCCATCTCTGAGATGCCCGGATCACAGACTCTCGCAGTAAATGCGCGTTAACGTTATAATATTTGGGACTGCAGTGATGGACTTGCCTGCTGAGTGTATGAATTTGTATCCATGCGGTGTTAGAGAAGTCTTCCAGTTAGAGTACAGGACAACAAAAACTTAATACATGGCTTATTTCTTGTTGTCAGTATCTAATATCTAGAATTTTGACTCCATAAAAATTACTGATGTAGAGAAGGAAATAATTGATTGCATCTGCTTTTGGCCGGGTAAATTTTACACGAGAATCCAGAATTTGTTCTGTGAGGTAAATTTTTAAGGAAAATAAAACGATATGTCAAGAGTGTATGTCCACAATAGGTGTTTTTTGGTTATTTGCATTGATTGTAACATTTTAAGTCGTGACTACACACTAGGACTGGGTTATAGTGATGAATGAGAGAGAGGATCTCAGAGTCAAGTGGGACAGACAGACACTGTGATGAATGTAACTGGGCACAGTCATGACTGACTGGCTCTGCCGATGGGGAAACTTGTCAGGAAGCTGCTGTGTTTGGAAGAGTAAGGATGACGAGTGCCTCGGATCCCATGTGTGGTGATGTGTCCCCCATCCCGACCCTTCCAATAATCCATGCACCTTCTTCTGCATTGCCCTTGCAGATGTTGATCAAAATTTGATGGATCGCCTCCAGAGAGTGAATAACTCCTTATCCAGCCAGATTAGCCGCTTACAGAATATCCGGAATACCATTGAAGAGACTGGAAACTTGGCTGAACAAGCGCGTGCCCGGGTAGAAAGCACAGAGCAGTTGATTGAAATTGCGTCCAAGGAACTTGAGAAAGCAAAGATTGCTGTTGCCAATGTGGTGAGTGAGCGTGATGCTTTGTGTTGGGGGTGGGGGCATCCCTTGGTAATTTGTAGCAGGTCTGTTACAGTCAGTGGAGTGTTCACTCCTTCAGCTAACTTGGCTCCTGTGTCCTTTTATTTGTCACTAAACATGGAGCAAGAAAACCAGGTTGCTCACAGTAGTCATGAAACCGTTATCAGGAGCTGGATCCAGAACCAAAGTTACATCTGGGTTCTTTTTCTCTAGCTTTGTTCCTTCTATGGCTCTAGGCAATTGTAGTTTCTTTTAATCCTTTCCTGAAACTAGAAGTAATAATTACAATCAAGGTTGCTGCTATTAAAGATCTCTGAAATTAAGAAGAGGCTTTCTTTTTGCTAAATGACACTAATAACAATTTAGTTTTGCCTGGCCAGTATGGCTCAGCGATTGAGCATGGACCCAGGAACCAGGAAGTCATGGTTCAATTCCTGGTCAAGGGCACAGGCCCGGGTTGCTGGCTCAATCCCCAGAAGGCAGCCGTGCAAGAGGCAGCCAATCAAATGATTCTCTCATTGATGTTTTTCTCTCTCTCCTCCTCTCTCAGAAATCCATGAAAACACGTTTTTTAAAAATTTGGCTTTGACACTTGCTTTATTAAAATGAAATAATCCAGCCCTTTGAAGTTAGTGTTTTGTTTATTTCTTCTTCAGTCAATCACTCAGCCAGAGTCCACGGGGGATCCGAACAACATGACCCTTTTGGCAGAAGAGGCGCGAAGACTTGCGGAACGGTAATGGCCAGACCCCTGTTCCCTGGTGAAGTTGTGGCTTTTCCTGTGGTGTGTTCCCGTATCCTATACCCGCAAGCTCTTTCCACACCACCCTCCCTCGCAACGCTGGCTCTCTTTTCTGGAATGTTATCAGCTACATTTTCTTCCTTTGCTTTGAAATTAGAATATTTACTTTGGATATTAGAGAATGATGGCTTGAAGGGAAACTATGTTTGCACATCTGAAAAAAATAAAATTTTTAGATGTTTAATTTCAAAACTTTAAAGTTAATAGGTAACTAAGAAGCTCAGCAGAATTTAATTATTTTTAACAAAAATGTTTAATTTTCAAGCTTCAGGAAAAACCACTTACTAAGCCACAGTACATTTGAAAATTAGCCAAAGAAAACAGACCATTTCATTCCTAATTTAAAAAAAAAAAATTAATTGTCATGTAATTTCTTAAGAACACTTTAAATTGTAGAGGAGATCAAGTTAAAAAATTTTAAAAAATAAAATTGCTGGAATGTATGCTCCGTAAGGGCAGGCATTTTTGTGTTTTATATACTACTGAAGTCCTCAGTGCCTAAAACAATGTGTGGCATTCAGTAAGCACTCAATAATGTTTGTTGAATGCACTGCAGAACAGCTGTCAACCTCATGGCTGCTTCGGAAAGCCTGAGGTTGGAGTTTTACCCCTGGTGTCCAGAGCAATTACATTGGCATTTTGCTGAAACGTGTGCAAATGTGAATGTGTGAGCTGTGTCCTTCAGCTCATAGAGCATTCCTGGTCTCATAGCTGGATTTTCTGATTAAAAGAAGACAGCTGAAAACAGTATGGAAAGCTCCCAAGAAAATTAGGTCTTGGAAATCAGTTAATTCCAGTGTTCTTCATACGTGAATTTTGAAGGAAAGTTTATCATACCAACATGAGCGGCTATCTACTGCCGTGTGTCATTGCAGTATAATACAAACTTTTAGAGCTGAAGAAAAATACCTTAGCGGTTACCCATCTGAAATGCATTTATTTGACTGGAGAGCCTGTTGATATGTTCCTTGCCATTTGGTGCTGAGTTGCTTTTCTTGGCCAGTAATGGGGTTGCGTGTAAGAAATCTGAATAGTCAAAGCTATTTCAAGACTGTGTAGTAAATGAACCAGAGTAGGTCTGGGATTTGTGTTTATGAGTAGATACAGGCATTCCTGCTAGAATACATGGTTTTATATATAAATCACTCTTAAGTAATTGTAGGCAAGTTTTTGAAGAAATAGAAACATTTGTTTCTATAAATTTATACCATTAATTTTCTTGGAAAATACCATTTTCTTATATGATAGAATGCTACTTGTAACCAGGCCCACTAAAATGCTTGCCTATTTCCAAAGATATAAGATTTTCTAGTATTTGTAGATGCATATATACATTAGTATATGTAATAAGGTAAGCATTCCCTAAGTTCTACTGCTTTCCCCATCAGATGGCTCTGTTTCATGGTTTATTTTTTCTTATGTGTTATACAGCCATAAACAAGAAGCTGATGACATTGTCCGGGTGGCCCAGACAGCCAATGACACATCAACTGAGGCATATAATCTGCTTTTGAGGACACTGGCAGGAGAAAATCAAACAGCATTGGAGATTGAAGAGCTTAATAGGAAGTGAGTGAAATCTAAAAGTGGCTTATAGCTATTCCGGTGTTCTTGTAAGTAACACCAGTTCAATGAAAAATCAAATGCTGGCGGATTCAGAGCATGCATTCATGCGCTAAGGTTTCTTCTGCTCGTCCTGCTTTTCACCTGGTCCCATAATTAGAGTTGAGGATGTAGAACCATGGAGATATCATTTGGTCCAATTACTATAATTGCAGAAAACAATAACAAGACTAGCCATGATACTTAAAACTGCATAAATGAAAACAGAAAAAGAATCATAACAGAGAGGAAATACACTTTGAGTTAGAAATATCTTCTAAAAGTGTCGTTATGAGAAAGTATAAAGTAGACCACATGTTAGGGATAGAATTGATGAGATGAAATGTAAACTTTAGCTATGTTGGTATTAAACAACAGCAGTTTAAGGCGGCATTTTCTTGGAGGTTTTTGAAATACTCTCCTAGTGATTTAAACGGAAGTGAATCCATTTAACATTAAGGTGCCAAAAGCAACCGAGTTTCTCGTGAAACCCCATCTCTTGTCCCTTAGGTATGAACAAGCAAAGAACATCTCCCAGGATCTAGAGAAGCAAGCGGCCCGAGTGCATGAGGAGGCCAAAAGGGCCGGGGAGAAAGCTGTGGAGATCTATGCCAGCGTGTCCCAGCTGTCGCCTGTGGACTCAGAAGCCCTGGAGGTATGGGATTGACAGCCTGTATGCACAGAGCTTTGGTTGTCACTGTCACCCCTCCCTACACACACACACACACACACACACACACACACACACACACACACACAGTCTGGGTAAGAGCTATTCTGACCAGCTAAGGCGAGTTCTGTTTTATACACATAATAGAACTAATTGAGGTAAGGAATCTGCGATTATAAACGTTAACTAGCAGAGAATACTTTAGTGATATGAATAGTTACCCCTAAGTCTTTAACCTAAATCTGAATTGTAACTTTTTTGGATTAATTAAAGCAGAGTACACCTAGACTGTCACTCCCAGGCACTACCTGGTTGAGAACGAGAGAGAAATAAAAGAGAATGGTTTAAATGAAAAAATTACATCAGGATGCTCAAAGTCAGGTAAAATATTTTGGAATTGGTGGTAGTATTTTATTTCATCTGTCCTCTAAGAAATCCTCATACCGGGCTCTGGATAAATTATATATATATATATATATATATATATATATATATATATATATATAAAAAAAACATTAAAACTTAAAGTTTATTATATTACACTTCTTATATCCACAGTGTTGATTTTATTTTTATCATAAAGGTTTAGGTCTCTTCAGACATGTGTATACTGTATCATTCCATATATGTGAAATTTGAGAATAGGCAAAACTAATTGATGATACTAAAAATCAGACTGGTGGCAGCTGCGTTATTGGAAAGATGGGTGTGGAAATTGACTGGAAAGCAAGGGAATTTCCTGGGGAGGAAATAGTCTGTATCCTGGTTGGGGTGCTGGTTATAGGTAAATATATTTATCTAGATTCATCAAACTAAGCATTGTGCATTTCACCACGTGTGAAGTATGCTCAGTTTTAAAAAAGGTCCATATTTTGACCTATGCTGTTCTTTTAAGAATACCTATTATGTATTATAGAGTAGCTAAGCCTACCTCTTCATCCGTTTGTTTGATATAAAATGGAATGGTCTTACTTCTCACAGAATGAGGCAAATAAGATAAAGAAGGAAGCTGAGGATCTGAGCCGTCTGATTGACCAGAAGTTAAAAGATTATGAGGACCTCAGAGATGACATGAGAGGGAAGGAGTACGAAGTGAAGAAACTTCTGGAGGGCGGCAAGGTCGAACAGCAGGTCGGTTTGATTTGCAGGTTGCTTCATTCCTTGGGGCAAAAATCTGAAACCATCCACGTGTAAGCTGTGTCTGTACTGTCACCACAGTAGCAGAGGAAGCACAGAATGGCATCCTCAGAGCAGAGCCTGTGCGGGATGCCCAGGCCCAGCTTGCTGGGTGCTGGCGAGTCTCAGGGTGGCTGCCTGGCTGTGCCTGATCTGTTAGGGGAGAGGGGGCTCACCTTGGCTGGTTTGGCCTCTGATCAGCCATGTGCTTGCAGACCGCCGACCAACTCCTAGCTCGAGCTGATGCTGCCAAGGCGCTTGCAGAAGAAGCTGCTAAACGGGGACGGAATACCTTACAAGAAGCCAATGACATTCTCAACAACCTGAAAGGTAGGAAAGGGTCACAGGGTCAATTTGTATGCTTCCTCCACAAGGCCAAATTCTTTTTTATTTTTATTTTTTATTTTAACCATGCGATTCTTAGAAAAGTAATGGTTATCCCCATTTATCTGTGGGGGATATGTTTCAAGACACATGCACACACACACCCCATGGATGCCTGAAACCACAGATAGTACCAAATCCTCCCTCTCTCTCTCTCTCTCTCTCTCTCTCTCTCTCTCTACATATATATATATATATATATATATATATATATATATGCCTATGATAAAGTTAGATTTATAAATTAGGCATACAAGGAGGTTAACAATAATAACTACTAATAAAATAGGACTATTATAACAATATACTGTACTAAAAGGAATCGAATGAGGTCTCTCTCAAAATAACTTCCTAAATTCCACATACAGCATGATACCCTAGGTTGGATAAAGGGATGATTCACGTCAAAATAGTTTGAAAAAAAATTTTTTTTTTAATATGTTTTTATTGATTTTTAGAGAGAGGAAGGTAGAGGGATAGAAAGATAGGAATATTGATGATATAGAAACATCATCAATCAGCTGCTTCTTGCATGTTCTCTATTTGATAAGCCTGCAACGTGGGCATGTGCCCTGACCAGGAATTGAACCAGTGATCTCTTGGTTCCTGGGTCAAAGCTCAACCACTGAGCCACGGCAGTTGGGAAAAACTTAGGAGTTGTTTGTTTATAGAAGTACTATTTAATATTTTTGGACTGTGATTAACAGCAGATAACTGAAAATGTGGAAAGCAAAATCATAGATAAGGGGGAAACTATTGTAGTATAATAAATTCTATATACTGTCATCCATATTCAATAGTTATGGTTTTTACTGCATTTATTTCATCCCCCAATATCCATTTTACCTTTTTTTTTTTTTTTAATCCTCACCCAGTATATGTTTTTATTTATTTTCCGGGGGGAGAGAGAGAAATATCAATATGAGAAATACCGATTGGTTACCTCCTATGTGATCAAACCCGAAACCTGGGTATGTGCCCTGACAAGGAATCGAACTTGAAACCTTTCTGCTGTACAGGACGACGCTCCAACTGAGCCATCTAGCCAGGGCCCACTTTACTTTTTTTCTGAAGTATTTTAAAGAAAAAAACAACCCAAAAACCAGAGCTCATGTCATCTCACTTCTGCATACAGGGAAAAAAAAGGAAACTTTTTTTTTGGTAGGCTCGCTTACTTAACCTAGATATGCCTATTTAGCTGACCTCTCTTGGTAAATGGAGATTATCTTTAATTTTCTCTGCCAGTTGCATCTCAATATTTGTGTTTTCTTTTCTTGCCCAAATTAAAAAAAGAAATGTTCTGAATTCACTATGTAGCCCTGGATTTATCTCTGATAAAATAGCCACAGGCTCTGTGAATACTAATGCTTAACATAAGGATGGTTGAATGTAGGGTCCCAGTGTCAATGGGGTTGAGTTAGAATCGCTGATCTCCGTCTCACTGTGAACCCTTGGGGAAATTACCAATCTTTTTAATCTTCAGTTTTCTCACATATAAAAATGGCACAATGCCTGCATCACAGACACAACAAAGCTCTTCCCTCAGCATCTAGCATATAGTGAACACAAGGAAACTGCAGTTTTTAGTATTGGTTGAGGTGGTAGTGATGGTATGCCCAGCACTCTACCTGAAAATACACTTCCCAGGTAAGAATTTACCTTTTAGAGCTATATGTTCATTCCTCTGACTCTCCGGTGTAGAGCTGTGTGCTTTGTTCTTAGATTTCAGTCCATGCTGCTTTCATTTTCTCCCCTGACTTTCCTTGTCTACACTAATAAAAGAGAAAGATGCAAATTGACCATACCTTCGTGATACCCACCAGCCAATCAGGAGTGAGTATGCAAATTATCCCAACAAATATGGCAGGATAATTTGCATACACAGGCGCCCAGTAGCCGGGAGCAGTCCACCCTGCCCCAGCCACTCCGGGTCTCTGGGCAGCGTGGGAAGACGGAAAGGCAGCTCTGGGCCAGGGCAAAGATAGAAAAGTGGCTCTGGGCTGGAGCAAAGGTGAAATGGCGGCTCTGGCCTGAGTGAAGGCAGTGCCAGCAGCCAGGGAAGGAAGGCCCATTCTTGCACGAATCTTCATGCATCAGGCCTCTAGTTTGTATCATAAAACCCAGTCTCAGCTCCCTGAAAGCTTCCTTTTGGTTTGTTGAGTGTCTAGTTCAAATGCATTCCTCGAACTTGTTTTAGACTTTGATAAGCGAGTGAATGATAACAAGACTGCTGCAGAGGAGGCACTAAAGAGAATCCCCGCCATCAACCAGACCATATTTGAAGCCAATGAAAAGACGAGGGAGGCACAGCTGGCCCTGGGCAATGCAGCAGCAGACGCCACAGAGGCTAAGAACAAGGCCCACGAGGCGGAGAGGATCGCCAGCGCTGTCCAGAAGGTGTGTATTTGCCTCTTCTCGAAACAAAGTCTTTGCTCATGTGTTTCTTGAGTTATTTTCCTGTTTCCTTCCAGACACTCAAGAGCCCTGGTAAATGTTTTCTTGGCCTCAGTAAAATGATCTTAAACTAACCTTATCATTTATATATATACACACATATATATTTTTTATAAGGCATTAGAATAGACAACTCCTCTGATCTAGGAGGGAGAATCATTGAAAAGGTCTTTGACTAAAACTTCTACTATCTCAGTGGCAGGATCTGAGTTTGTGAGCAGGTAAATGACTTCAGGGACCCATAGAGCACCTTCCTACAAAAAATAAATTAGGCTCTTCCGAAATCAGGACAGTTCTTTGACCTGGACAGTTGACTTTTTTTTTCAACCTTGTAGAGAGTGCCAAGTCAATACATCTTTGAAGCTGCTCAGTCAAGCATATTGGCCATACCTAAGCCGCCACCTATTTAGAATTTCTATAGCTGCCACTGCTGGCCTTTTCTACTCATTGTCTGGCTGGCTTTTTTCCTACCTACAGGTCAATCTACATGCTTTATTAGGAGGGTTGGTGCTGATTCTAATATTACATATTTGAGAATCACACACATTTTTAGTTTGGTTAGAACAGTCAGTTTCCACTTAACTGAATTGTATGAGATATTCCTGCTTTTGGATTATGGTCTTTTTGTACATTATGATGAACTGCCAAGTAGAACAAAACCAGCCTTGAATTTAACATGTACCCAAGTGAAAAAGAATCTAATCAATATGATGTGGTGGAAAGTGTACCCCATTAAAATGTTCAGCATTTGCCAGCTCTGTGACCTCAACTAACAATGGGAATAGTAGAAGACAAAAATAAACGATAAACTCAATATGCAAGTCAACATCCAGTATAAATTACTGCCTTATTCTTTCTGGATTGTATTTTTGAGCCATTGACAGGTTAATGGTGTGTTGTTGTTTTTTAACCATTCTTTCTTTTGTACTTAGAATGCTACCAGCACCAAGGCAGAAGCTGAAAGGACTTTTGCAGAAGTGACAGATCTGGACAATGAGGTGAACAATATGTTGAAACAGCTACAAGAAGCAGAAAAGGAGCTGAAGAAAAAACAAGATGACGCAGACCAGGATATGATGATGGCGGGGATGGTAAGCGACATTGCCATAGGTGCTCATGGGCAGAAAGGGAAGGGTATTTCATATAAAAAGAGTCTCTTTCATACGGATTTCCATTTCTCATTGTGTTTTTTAGTCAGGAATTGGGTTAGAAACTTACATAGAAGACAAAGAATTTGGATGTTCTGCCAGGTGGTTGCACAATTGTCCCATCCCAAAGCTGCTCTCAGTTAAAATCAAAACATTGTTTTGCACATCTGAGGCTTTAGGGTACTCCTCAGTATGTGTTCATATTTTTGAATGGATAATTCATAGAGGTTATAAAGTAAAAAAAGGAACAAAGAAGGATGCCATGAAAAGTCAATTTCCTTCCTGCTCTTGTTCTCCCAGCCACTTGCTCCCTTGAGGCAAAAACCTCTTCTTGTGTAAAAGGACATTTTTTGAAGCTGGCAAACCATCCCAAACTTGCATCACATTGAATCATTCCCCTTTTGTGTGATAACGCCATTTGTAACCAAGTTGACTTGTGAATGTACAGCCCAACCAAAAATTGTTGATGCCGTATTTGGCTTTTGAAAGACTTGAATGAAGCCACAGTGGACATACGCCTTCCCAGTTCCATCTGATCACAGTCACAGGAATGACAGACATGAACTCATTTCATTGTGCACTTCCAGTCCTGCCAAAAAACAGGCCCTTTGCTGTGGGTCTTTTTCGCCTTGGGATGGGAAGGAGAAATACTAGGCAGCTCATGTAGGTAGAGAAGGAAGTGATAACAGGAAGCATTCCTGTGCCAACACCCTGTTTTATTATGCTTTTTTTGATGTTTTTTTTTGTTTTTTTTTTTTGTTTGTTTTTTTTTTTTTTTGGATTGTCTTCATTTTCCGTAGCAAGGTGTGGCCTCACTGGAAATTTCCTTCTAGTAAAAATAGGTGTTTTTCATCGAGGGTCTCCAGATTTCATCTGGTTGTAGAAACATTAGATTTTAGATCCTGTTGGAAGAAGAAGGCTGTATTCTTTTCTATCTTTTTAAAAAATATATTTTTATTGATTTCAGAGAGAGAGTGAGAGAGCAAGAATCATCAATGATGAGAGAGAACCATTGGTCGGCTGCCTCCTGCACACTCCCTACTAGGGATTGAGCCTTGCAACCCTGGCATGTGCCCTGACTGGGAATCGAACCGTGACCTCCAAGTTCCTAGGTCGACGCTCAACCACTGAGCCATGCTGGTCGGACAAGAAGACTATATTCTTGTTAAGCTTCCAAAAAGGGCCTGGGCTCTCTTTAAAGGGTGGAAAGAAGGTCCATTTTTTGTTGTTGTTCCTTTCGGTAAATAACTTCTATTCGGTAAATAACGCACCATCACACACAGTATCCTATCTGCCTTTTTATCAATCCTGAAAGGCCAGCATTGGGCCAGTATTGTGACTTGGTGGTTTGTTGTGTTTTTGTTTTTGTTTTTGTTTTTAACCAAAAGAGCACAGGCTCATGGTTGTTCCCAGAAGGGTCAGCAGGGCCAGGGCAGCAGTGTTAATCTCAGCCACAGCTCTGTCCTTCGTGCACAGAGCAGCCTGCAAAGGCTGACTGTGATTTCCACAGAGATTAATCATTGGTTTGTGATTAAGGTGAAGGCTTTTACCCTCTTGCTTTTTTTTTTTTTCTTTTTAAAATTTTGACATTGTTCTTATCCAAAAATTTTACCTTGTCTTGACCCCAAAACTAAGAAAAGCATTTATGTGGCAGGGAGTTCGCAGCCACTCGCTTGTGTCCTGGGAGATTTATTTCTGAGAGCATCTGTGTTCTGATATTTGGACACTTCCTCTTCCCTGGCCTATTCCTGTGACTCATGCACAAGTGTATTTATTCAGGTTTCCTGGAATTTTCCCAATTATATTTATCTTTGGTTGATTTTTAAAATGTAAATTGTTTTGGGGTATGTAAAGTGTGTGTGTGTGTGTGTGTGTGTGTGTGTGTGCACGCACAGCAGGTTGGGGAGACAATTATAGAAGAGTGTCACTGATTATGAAAGTTTTCTGAAGATAGGACATTTCTAATAATCAAACTTCTAAGAATGTCCTGAAAGACATGTTTTAGCTCTAAAATATAGTTTTTGTGCTCATTCTTTAAAAATAACTTGTTTCTGCCTGATGGATTTTATTATGAATACAACTCCATGTGTTTTTGAGTGAGAGAGTGAGAGAAGGAGATAATGTTGATCTTTGAAATACAAACACAGTTAGTGTAGGCATGCTGAGTGCCTGCCTATTCAAGACTGTTATGTGTATTAAAAATAGCATCATCCTCAACATGAAGATGTACCCATCCCTCTAACTCCCCTCCACTCCCCCCCCCCAAAAAAAACAAACACATAACCCTGCAGTGAGAGATTGAGGTTTTAGGAGTTAGGAAAATGAAATTAGTTGGCTCATTGGGGGAAGAAGTGCTTCAAGCAGATGAGAGCATACGGTCAGGAGAGGTGTATCATTTATCCTTCCCCCTCTCCCCCCCACAGGCCTCTCAGGCTGCCCAGGAAGCCGAGATCAATGCCAGGAAGGCCAAGAACTCCGTCTCCAGCCTCCTCAACCTTATTAACAACCTCTTGGAGCAGCTGGGTGAGTAGCCATAGTGTCACTTAGGGAATCTCTGAATTCTTTGTACTGTTCTTGGGCTCTGATGTAGTTGATTCAAAAACAGATATTATATATGATGCAAGTTTTGTGTGAACCCAATCTTGACTTTTGGTTGTAGTACTTCAGTTAGTACGTACAAGGTCCTCCCATAGAATCTGACTAGGTACTGAGTCTGACAGTGGTCCCAGGACTCCACAGAAGTTTGGAGATGTGCTGCCAGCAGGGGTAGCTCATTTATGGCTGAGGTTTGGGATCCAGTCGAACAGTGATTATCCTTAGCTCATCCTGCTGGCAGTGTCTGTAAAGGATTTCAGTGATGCGATAAAAGAACACTTTTGGCTGGTTGTGATGCCACTGCCTGGAATTCTCTTCATTTGCCGATGGAAGGATAATCTGATGAGGTGACACTTATATGTAAAAAGGAAAAAAAAAAAAGGCTCAATTTTTTTCCCAAGGAAATATAAGCATACTGGAACCCTCTTTTCATCCAGCTTGATAGAGAGCAGACTTCCTATAAGACAGATCTCCTTTGTCACTGGACTTCATCATAAAGTGGGAAACTGTAGTCCGCACAGCTCTGTACAAGGCATTCATTCATTTCTTAGCCTTTAAAGTTTGGGCAGTGTTTTTTTGGGGGGAGTGAGGGTATATTTTTTATCTGTCTCAAATGTCAAGAATAATAAATGGTGTGCTAGCAGATGGGTTTGAAAATGAAAGTTAGCTAAAAGAAGCCGATTTTTGTGGAAGAAAGAGCTGGATTTTTAAAGTTCATCAGACTTGGGTTGGAATCTTTGCTTTGTTGCCCAGAAGCTGTGCAGACTAGGGCAAATTACTTAACATCTGAGAATCCCTGATGTCACATGGCCTTGTGAGCAGTTAATCAAGTACAGCATGTATGAAGTGCTGACTTGTGTGTGGAAGTCTGCTTCCATTTATTATGGAAGCAGTGCCTTTCCAAAGAACCTCTCTTTACTGCTGACCTTACAGTGAAGCTTTGCCGAAATGATGCCGGCATTTCAGCCCTGGCCATTGCCCACAGGGCTCCTCCTGGGGTCTAACTCTGGAGAGCAGGACATGACTCCCAGAACCAGCTCAGCTTCCCCGGAACCTCAGCACTGAGGCTTCGGGTTCTAGCCCAAAGGGGTTTGTGTATAGTAGAGGCCACTGAAATGACGCACAGGTTACATGGGGAAAGTACTAAATGCCACCAGATGACCTTCAAAACCACAGCAAGGTTTAAGGTCCTAAGGCTGGGCACTTAGGAAACATTTCACAAAAACCATTTTCTCAGAGAATGCATCCAGCCCAGGATTCAGTATGCGTCCTCCCGCTCCCTGCCGGGTTGGGTCGGCGTGGTGCTTGGCTTGCCTTGCGGACGCCTTTTCGTAGCAGCCGCTGCGGGGCTCTGTGAGAAGGCCAGGGGTGCTTGTGGAGTGAAGGCAAAAAAAAAAAAAAAAAAAGGCTCAATGATCCTTTCTGAACACATCTGTTCTCTCCTGGGTCCTCTCTGACTCTACAGGGCAGCTGGACACCGTGGACTTGAACAAGCTCAACGAGATCGAAGGCACCCTGAACAAAGCCAAAGACGAAATGAAAGCCAGCGATCTGGACAGGAAAGTGTCCGACCTGGAGAACGAAGCCAGGAAGCAGGAGGCCGCCATCCTGGACTACAACAGGGACATCGAGGAGATCATGAAGGACATCCACAACCTGGAGGACATCAGGAAGACCTTACCCTCCGGCTGCTTCAACACCCCGTCCATCGAAAAGCCCTAGTGCCTTCCTCCGGGGCTGGCAGGCAGCCCTCCCGCCGCCGGGAGCCGCGGTGAGGCCGGGGCGTGCCTCCGCACAAAGATGACATTTTTCAGACCCCCACTTCTCTGCTGCTCGCCACCGCTGTCCTTTTGAACCAGGAAACGTCACAAAGTTTTTAAGAGAAGCAAACGAACCATCATCGTGAATCGGGAACCAAGGGTTTTATCTAACCAAGTCTCTCTTCCACTGACGGCCCTCCCATATATCCACACTTTTCTGAGCCGCGCAAGGACGCGTCCTCACGCAGTGGCCTCCTCCAGCGGCGTGCACACTTCGTGGGAACCCTTGCGTGCCGGGGCTGGGCAAGTAGCCCTCCCCTTCTCACTGGTGCCAACAGAACCTCCTCCGCCCCAGTCCTGTCGTTTCTATGAAGGAAAAGTTTGGCTGCTCGTTGTAGCATTGCGATGGCCAGTAATAGCCAGCCTATAGCTCAAGAGAATGCATCCACGTCTCCTGCCCCTCCTCCTCGGAAGCAAAAGTAACCAAACCTCCTGTGCCAAAGGTATTGGTCCTTAAGAAGGTCGAGAGCCGTCACCACTTGCTTTAGCTACGTTGAGTATAGGACACTGAGCCATCCCCGGGGAAGGATGCAATTGTTCACGCCAGTTCCCCGGGAGAATATGGGGCCGGACATCTCCTATGTTCACAATTGACTAGGAAGATACACATTCTTCAGATCCTTGGGCAGCTGATCATTTCAATCTGGATGGGCAGCTTGTACTTGCCACTAGACATCCTTTGATATTTCCTATCCACGGAATCTATGCAGAAGAAATAGGGATATGATAACCACTAAAGTTGTTTATTTCCCCCTCTCCCCCAAATCTGATTCTTAGAGCTTTGTGTTAGTGTGTTGGTATGGGAACTAGTGTTGTTATCTGGCAGAGAGTAGTTGGTCCCTAAGATCTTGACAAAACACAAGAAAAAATGAGCCCCAGACTTTTCTAGCGAAGGGATAAAACTTAGGTCAGTTTTTGTTGTCAGGATCCATTTTTCTTCCATTGGGAAGAGATGACATATTTGATCCTTAGCCTCATTTGTTTCTTCTGACGTTCCCATCGTCTAGAATTCCTCAAAACACGTGTTTGCAGAAATCCAGGTGGCAAATACTTGCCCTCCGTAGTCCATACAGCTGCCGACACCATCTAGTTCCTGCACTTTGTGATTTCAAACCCACTCGAACCCTTCCCTCTACGTGTGGAGGGAAGACCCTTACGTGGAGTTTCCTAGTGGGCTTCTCGACTTCTGATCCCCAGCTCTGTGGTTTTCCTTTAAGATCACAGTGTGACAATTCCCTGCCACACCCCTTCCTCCTACCGACCTGCCTTCGAGATTCATATATAGCCTTTAACACTATGCAACTTTGTACTTTGCGTAGCGGGGGAAAGAAACTATTATCTGACACACTGGTGCTATTAATTATTTTCAAAATTTATATTTTTGTGTGAATGTGGTTTTTTTTGTTTATCATGATTATAGAATAAGGAATTTATGTAAATATACTTGGTCCTCTTTCTAGAATGGCACTGTCTGTTCACTTCTCTCCACTTCGCCTCGTCCCGGGCACAATGTGTCTGATTACCTCTGCCCCTCCCACCCGCAGTTCTCCAGGTTGTACCTGGTCCATCCCTTTGCTCTTTGCCTTGTGTTTGCAGCATGCCGTTTTCTCACGCGAACATCAGCCTGCTGTCCTCCAGCCGCAGCCAGCATCCCCAGCTTCACTGTAGCCCCAGTGTGACCCTAAACGGCTGCACGGTGTTGCTCTTAACGCCTGCTCCAGAGCAGGAATGCCAGGCTGCCAGGGGATGGTGGGGTGAGAACATTTTGCAGGATGTCTTCAACATCAGTGTAGCTCTAGCCAGGAATGAGCTGGAGATGCCCGTTCTGCAGTGGTTGGAGCTGGATGGGTCAGTCTTAGGAGAGATTGCATAATTCCTTGAGAGCGCATCAGGGAGGCACTCCAGATAGAGTGGGAGAGCCGCCTAGCTCAATTCTGCCCCTTCCCATCTCCCCTTGCGACCAGAGGTGGCTTCCCGTGGCACACCTCTAAGCCTTCGCTCTTGCTTCTCTCCTGCTCTCCCAGGACCCATGGCTCCTTCTTGCCAAGTTGTCACAGCAGAGTTTCCTAGCTAGTTCCTCTGGCAAAGTGGCCGTTTCCTAATAGACGTGTGGTTAAGGTTGCAGGAAGAGGCCTGAGATAGACTGCCAGGGTAGTTTTCCATCCAGCCTCTGGGTCAGGGTCACTCCGGTGAGTCTTGGGCAACGGTGAAATATTTTGATTCTATTGTTGTTGGCTCTTTTTTTTTTTTTCTTCTCTTTTTTCTCCTCCATCTGTGTGGTATATTTGTAAGCAGAATTTTATTTTTTAAATAAAGGTTCTTTATAAGACGATACCTTGATTACACCCCTGCAATATAGCCATTGTCTCATTGTAGAGTTCCAGTTATCTGTATTTTACAGCTTAATACAACCGACAGGGTGGCTGCTGCGGAATGCTGGGTGTCACAGGGGTAGAGACCGCTGTCCCCTGGGATTCTGTTTTTAATTCCCACGGTGGCCCTTTTCCATGTGCCTTCACCTGAGCTGTGTGCCTTCATTTCTAGTCTTGCTCTCCAGGGTGGTGAATAAAATGCAACACTTGGCAATTTTTATGTTTAAAAAAAAAAAACCAGTATTTTATTTATAATAAAATCTGAATATTTGTAACCCTTCATATTTGGTGTGTCTTGAATATGGGGGGTGGAGGTATGAAAAGGTGTTTACTTGTTTTTTAAGAACAGTCCTCTGTGTGTGTGTACATTTTTTTTTCTTTTACCCTTCTCAGATTGGGATACTTCTGTGTAGCCCAGAGGTTGGCAAGCTTTTTCTGGAAAGAGCTAGAGAGCAAATATTTGTCCTAGACTTTGCTGTCTGGACGGTATCTGTCACAGCCGCTCCGTCATTGGAGGAGAAAGGCCACCATGGACACCACGGGAACAAATGAGTGTGGCTGCGTCCCAGGAAAGCTATTGACAAACACAGGCCAGGGGCCTGCCGTCTGTAGTTTATCCCTGGTGTCATCTCAAAACTTGACGAATGACTACTGAGGACTATTTTTAAAATATATATATATTTTTTATTGATTCTTTATGAGAGAAGAGAGAGGGATAGAGAGTTAGAAATGTTGATGAGAGAGAATCATCAATAAGCTGTCTCTTGTACACCCCTTACTGGGGATATGCCCGCAACCAAGGTACATGCCCTTGACCGGAATCAAACCCAGGGCCTTTCAGTCCACAGGCCGACGCTCTATCCACTGATCCAAACCTGTTTCGGCTGAGGACTATTTTTAAGTTACTTGGGCTTTCTAAATGAGCAGCTGCATGTAACAAGTTGTCTCGCCTTTTGAATACTCGCATGTCTTTAAAGATGGTTTCTTCAGATGACGGGAAACACCCAAACCTGGAATAAAAAGAAAGGTGAGTAAGGAATGTGCCGGACCAGCAAGCCAGGCGTTGCTCCTTGTACCTCAGCCCGTCTGCAGGGCTGAGCCGGCTGGAGTCACCTGAGACCAGGTGAGCAGCGTTGGAGCTACAGAGACAGCAGGTGGGCTTTGGTCCGCTCCTCAGCCGTTGACAGCCCTGCGTCCCTGTGGAGGACATGCCACCTTTCCCAGCTTGGGCATCATGTGACTACGTGACCTGTAGAAGAAATCCTGAGGGCTTCCCTTACTACTTCCTCCGAGAGCTTCACACACCTCTTCTTAGTTCGTTTGCAGGATCTGGTTCAAATACAAACACATCCTTTCTAGTGACTGTGTCAGCGAGATGAGTGGGATTTTTAAAACATGGGCCTATTCCTTTTGTTTCCGCAGTTTCTGCAAAGTTGGTACCAGCAGTTTCTGCAAAGTTGGTAAGGCGATTCACAAAAATCCCCAGAGGCGAACTCCTTAAATAAGCATCGTAGTCCCCAGGGAATCTGAACTCACCAGCTCCGTCCATGAAGCTGATAGCGGGGTAATGCCGAAGAGGACCCCTTGGGACCAAGGGGTCCCGAGGTAGAAAAGCAGGTGTACCTTCTCCCTAAGGTGAGGAAAGCCCGGCCCGAGGAAACATCAGATCTCCGCAGGCCCATAGCTTGTGGAAACAAGTGAGAAAGGCGGATAGTTTGACCCATTCACACTCAGCGGGTTTAAATGAAGTGAGTATTCCTAGTTGGAGTGAAAAGTAAGAAACTTTCTAGTTAGTAATCTCTCAGGCTCCACTGGTTCAGGAGTCGTCAACTAGTGTGTCCTCTATTCGTACTGCGTGTCCTAGAAGGATTTCATCTGCTCTGTATGGATAAATGAAATTCTAAATGCATGCTTAAGAAAGGGAGATATAAAAAAATCAATAAAATATGTAAAAAAAAAATCAATAAAATATGAAAAAAAAAAAATAAAAAAAAAATAAAATAAAATAAAAAAAAAAAAAAAAAAAAGAAAGGGAGATATTTTGCCCTAGCTGGCTTGGCTCAGTGAATAGAGCGTTGGCCTGCAGACTGGAGGTTCCCAGGTTCGAATTTGGTCAAGGCCAAATGCCTGGGTTGCGGGCTTGACCCCCAATTGGTGGCGTGCAGGAGGCAGTGATCAATGATTCCCTTTCATCATTGATGTTTTGATCTCTCCCTCTCCCTTCCTCTCTGAAATCAATAAAAAATATGTATTTTAAAAAAGAGAAATATTTAGCAGAAGTCCAAAGAAAAGCTTCAAAGTCCCAATTTGCAATTCAAATGCGAGAAAGTCCAACACTTCATAAAACCTCCATGTCTTTGCTTTAACTCTTCTCTCTGCCTAAATGGCCCTTTCCCAATATTGAAAACTAGCCAGTCCTTCCTGATGTCCACCATCCCTCCCAGCCTTGTACTGTCTCCTAGCACGGCCCTTGGGCACGTTTATTGATCAGGTGTTCCATCCACCTCTACCTCCCTCCCTCTCCCCAAGA